GCTCTGACCATGAGGAAGCTTCTCCTAATGTCCAGCCTGAATCTGGGTTGTTGCAACTTGACTGGATTTTTCCGTGTCCTACAAGATGCTTGAGAGCAACCCTGAAAGACCTTTCCTTGTTTTTCCCAGAGCTGCGCTCCTACGCCCTGACCCTGCTGGAATTCTTGCGCCGGGCAGAGGAGTTCTTCCGCACCCAGATCGACTTCTCGTTCTTCACACGCTCCCTTCCGCAGTTCATGGAGCAGGTTTACCGGTACCTCTTCCCAGCACGAGGGCACCAAGGTTCCAGAGGTAGGGACAGGTCCAGGCGCTGATAATCGTCTGGGCCGAAGGCAGTGCAGGCGTGGAAAGAGAGCTTGGGGCTTGGCCTGCTCTTGTGAGACCAGCGTCACGGACATGGCAGGCCTGCCTTCCCATGCAGGAAAGGCTGGCTCAGGTGCCAGGCGCTGGCTCCCCGGGGCAAGCTGGCTTCAACGCATCCCTTTCAAGGGATGCTTGCATCCCTTCAGCCCAGGAGGGGCCTTTTTAAAGGGGCAGAGCTGCTCCAGGGGAGCCGCATTCCTAGTCTCATGCAGAGTTTTTGACTTTGTGCTTGACTGACTATGGATCAGCCCAGGCCAAAAAGCCCCCATCAGCTCCCAGACAAGGCAAAATCCTAGGCAGCCCTTCCCAGTGGGGAGTCTCCAGTTCTGTTGGACTACGGGCTGCTGGGGCTTGTAGTCTGACATGCCTGGAGGGCACTGTGTTGGGGACAGGGGCTCTAGGACAGGGCTTTTGAGCTGGACTGCCCCAGCTGTGCCCCTGCTGAGGTTGTGTGCTGTTGACAGCATACCATTCTGCATTGTGATCCCTCCATTCCTAGAAGCACTGCACCTGTTGAATGGCTGCCTTTTATGCCTGTTCAGAGCATATAGGCTGGAAAGAGACAATGTGGCAAGAGAAACAAGGAAACCCTGATTTTTCCCCCCTGCAAACCTACAACCATGTCCTGTAGCCCAGAGCTTTCTGGACACGGGGATACCTATTGCCCATTTCCATTCCGCAGCTCATCCTCTCTGTCTGTGGAATTTTCCCAGCCCCTCACCAGCTCCACAGATCTCTCCTGCTGTTCAGCCCACCTGAGAATGCAGGGCTCCCAGCACCAATTGGACTGGCCTTATTACGCTGATCCTCAACCCTGTTGGAGCTATCATAAGCTGGGAAGGGGAGCAGGCACTGCACCCCAATCTAATGCCTGTGTTACCCCAAAGAGCAGGGCTCGTACACCGAATCCGTCGCTGCCACCGGAGGCGGAGGAGACAGCCGGCAGCCAAAGGGCAGGACCATTCAGAAGCGTGCGGCCCAAATGTCCCGCAGCAGGTGAGGCCGGCCCTCTTCGTTACCTGGCCTTCCGGGTGCCAGCCTGGGGACTGGGGGTCTAGGGAGGCAGCCTCTTGCCCACCAGAAGTGGGGAGGGGAGGGGGGATAGAGGAGAAGGCCCGGCTATTCTTGGCTCAAATTAAAATCCAGCTCAGAAACAAACACTGGCACAGAAGGTTTGCCTCTGTAATGCAAAACAAACAAAGAAATGCAGAACAAGCTGGAGATGTGCATTTCTGAGCTAGGGATCTTAGTCATGCTGCCAGATATTTATCAGGCAACAGGGATTCCCGCGAGGGAGAGGCCCAGAACAAATAGACTGACAGAGAGAGCTTGTTTACTACACAAGGCGCTGAGAAAAAGTGATTTAAAGTCTTGAAGGGACTTTGGAGCAAATGGTAATTGTAATGAGATGTGGAGCTGTGCTCTCATATCAGCGGACTTAGGAACAGAAGGATGCAAAGGCTATCTTGATAGGTTGGAGCTCTGGTCTGGACCTCTGGCTCAGGAATGCTGCAAGTGGAATTGTAGGATCCATTGTAGGGGGGATCAATTGATTGTAGGATCCATTGTAGGGGGAATTGTACGGGGAGCTCTGGCTCAGGAATGCTGCAAGTGGAATTGTTGGAATTGTAAATCACAAGCTGAAGATGAGTCAGTGGTGGGATGTGGCTGCAAAAGGGGCAAATGCTATTCTGCGCTGCATTAATAGAAGTATTGCTTCCGAATCACATGAAGTGCCGGTTCCCCTTTACTGGGACTGGTTAGGCCTCATCTGGGTCCTGGGTCCAGTTCTGGGCACCTCGGTTGAAGAGAGAGGCAGGCAAGCTGGGAAGGGTCCAGAGGAGGGCAGCAAGGATGGGAAGAGGGGACTGGAAAGAGAGCCCTGCGAGGAAAGGGTGGAAGAGCTGGGCATGTTTAGCCTCGAGAAGAGACGGCTGGGGGGTGGGGGGTAGGACAGCGGTCTGGGGGGGTAGGACAGCACTCCGGAAGTACTTGAAAGGCTGTCGTTAAGAGGCTGGCATTGTTGTAAGCCGCCCCGAGGCTTCGGCGAATGGGGCGGCATAAAAATGTTTTAATAAATAATAAATAAATAAGAGGAAGGCCAGGATCTCTTCTCCATCATCCCTGCGTGCGGGACACGGAATAAGGGGCTCAGGGTACAGGAATCCAGGTTCCGGCTGGACATCAGGAAGAGCTTCCTGACTGTTAGTGCACTACAGCAATGGGACCCACGACCTGGGGAGGGGGTGGGCTCTCCCACCCTGGAGGCACCCTGGGCAGCCACCTGAGAGGGATGGTTTAACTCCGGGTGGGTTGCACCCAATGGCCCTGTAGGGACCCTTCCATTTACTAGTCTATGGTTCTATTATCCTAAGGGTAGATGAATCAAGAAAGCAAACAGTCCAGTTCTTCATGGCCACAGGTCTGCCCCCTTCCCCTCCATGTTCTTCCAAGCACATGAACTCTGCAGAAATAAGGCAAAGGATATTTCAGGCTGCAGTAACTGAAGACTCGCTTCCAAATCCCTATGCTGCACAGCCAGTACCTTGGATACTATCTGGACCGATGAAGACTTTTGATGAACTCAAAACACGCTCACTTCTTTGGGATTTTTAGATTCTTATCCCGTCCTTCTTTTGATGTGAGGAAACCCTGAACTTCAAAGAGAGGTTAAGTCAGTTGGCACAGGGCAAAGAGCTTCAAAGCCAGAAGGCAAAGCTGGCTGACCTTTAAACATCTGCAGCACGCAGCTTTGTCACCCTGTTGGCTCTCGGAGCACCTTGAGTGACTCAAAGAGACCCGTGAGGGGCAGGGGGCGACTGGAAGGCGTAGTCCGGATGGCTCTGTGCTCAGATTCTCAAGATGAAAGAGGAGGAAGGGTAGCAACGTTCAGATGCACCTTGCCTGGTGAAGTGCTGGTTTGGGTGGCCCAGGAGAGAAATGCGGAGCCTCAATGCAAGGGCCAAATTCCAGCTGGGAAAAGCTCTTGGAGGACACTTTCCGGGGGGGGGGGGGGGGGAGGGCAGAAAGCAAAAGGGTAAACTCAGCATGCGGAGGTTCCTGGCATATTGCAACAGAGGAGAATTTATTGCCAGTAATGACGCTTTTGCAGTGGCATCAAAGCCTTTCAAGGTGGGGAAAAGACTGCACAGAAGCAGGGACGCCAGCAAAGGCTAGGTGGCCCTGGGGGACAGGCATGGCCTCTGCAGGAATCCCAGAAGGGGGCAGACTGGTGCCCTGGGCCTGCAGCTCCCCACCCCTGCTGAGACCACTGGAACGAGAGGAGAAGTGAGGACACTTCTCACACCCTGGTGCCCTGCAGAGGTCTTGGCCGCAGCTCCTCTGATCCCCTAGTTCAACCCCTTGGAGGGGACCCAGTTGGGGAAGACAGAGCTAAGGTGCTGGGACTCCTCACCACAAGGGCAGGATGATGCTGGGCTGAGCACCCCTTTCTTCTTCTTGCCCTTTCTCCTTGCAGGATCCCTCGGTCCACGCTTCCCCCCTTCGCTGCTCTGTTCCGGGGCACGGGGCCCAGCGTGGCTGACTGGGTGCGGGCGCTGAACGCCATGGCCGAGGGGCCGACGAATGGCACAGGTGGAGAGGAGCAGCTTTTCCTGCAGGTATGCGCGCTGGGCTGAAGAGAGATCCAGAGTAGCCTTAGCCGGTGAAAGCGGACCTGTAGAAAGAGGAGGGAAATGCAGGTGGCGGTTTGGAGCAGCAGTGCCCCCTGGGAATTGTAGGCCAAGGTTTTGTCAACCCCAGGAGGCCTTCCTTTCATGGGGTCCCAGGCACCCCAAAATGTGCACTCCCTTCCATTCATTCCCATCTTTTCCCTTCCTCTGTATAACAGGTGTGTCTTGATAAAACTCTGCCAAAAAGCCGCTTTTAGTATTGTTCTGCTATAGATGCGTCCGTGTGTCTGATTGCACCAAGTTCTCTGCAGTTTATTTATTTATTTATTAAAACATTTTTATGCCGCCCCATTCGCCGAAGCCTCGCTGCGGCTTACAACAATAAGTTAAAAAATAATTATATCATTAAATTAAAAAATATAAACATTAAGTTAAGAATACAAATACCAATGTAAAATAAGCCGCCCTGGCCAAGCCGTTCTGGGCTGAGCTCGCTTTTCTCCCATGCAGCAGGCAGAAGGAGAGGTAGAGGAACTGCAGGACCAAGGACGGGCCTTCCTGCAGCAGCTGCAGAAAGAACTGCGCCTTGCGGGTGCTTTGGCGGACGGTGGGCCGGAGGGGGGAGTCCTCGCCGCGCCCCACGCTCCGGCCTGGAACGGTACGCGTCCAGGGACAGATGGTACAAGGCAGGCCCGCGGTTTGTAGGTTTGCATGCGGAATCCCTTGGCGGAAGCAAGTGGGCCGTCGCGCTGGGCAGGGCTTCGTCTCGCCCGGTGGTACACATGCAGCCCACACTCTGCACTGTGGCACCGGAGGAGGTGTACCTTGCACAGGGAAGACACAGAGCCCGGCCCGAAATTCCGGGGTGGCGGCCAAAGCGCAGCTGCAATATGCAGGCCCGCCTTGCCCTGTCCTCCCTCCGGCCACCCGTTCATCTCCCTGCGTCGGTCGCTCACGTCCCCATCTTCCTTTGCGGCAGACTCCCCGGCAAGCGAGGGCCACCACCACCAGGAGAAGCGCAGCCTTGGGGCAGGGCCCATGGGGGAGAAGGACCACGGCCTCCCCAAAGGTACGTGAGTGGCGTTGCTTCCCGGACTGGGCTGAACAGCAGTGGGGTCGGCCAGAATTAACGAGGGATTCATGGTGAGGGATTCCGAAGTCATGCCTGGCTTGACCGGCTCCTTGCAGCATCAAGCCCTATCGTCTCTGTTCTGCAGTTCTGGGGTGCTTTGTGTGGGTGGCTGACTCAAATAGAGGCACCCCAAGATATGTTGCTGCCTGAAGCAAAGGTGGCAGCTGGTTCTATCCTGCGCACAAAGCCGGTTGGAAGGACAGATGCCTTAGTCTTCAGCACTGACTGTCAGGCACTGTCCTTCACTGCACTTGACTTGGGAGGCAAAGAGAAGAACAGAAGCAGGGCGAGTCAGCAGGGGGCCTCCCGGGCCATCTAGTCTGACCCCCGGCTCCAGCCGGCTCCGCTCACGACAGGCCCACCATGTGCATGTCCAGCCTCTCCTTCACCGACGGGGCCTCGACCACCTCCCGTGGAGGCCCATCCCATACCCTTGGGGGCTCAGGGTAACAGGCCTGTCTCCTGGTACCTTGCTGCCGTCCCGCAGAATCTGCCGCCTGGGGCAGCTGTCTCACTCTGTCTCCTGGGAGGGCTGGCCCTGAACCGCTGGAACTCGGAGGGTGGAAAAGGGGCTTCTGTGTGGAGACCCCTGTTCTGCTGATCATTCCCAACGCGCCCAGAAGCAGCTCGGAAGGGTTCCCTCATGGCCCAGCTCACCTTTTCTGGTTAAGCGTTTCAGGGCCAGGCGAGACAATATATCAGCCTTTCCCAGCCTGGGACCCTCCAGACATGTTGGAAGGCCACTCCTGCCATTCTCAGCTGGCCAGTGGGAGTTACGGGAGTTGCAGTCCAACACATCTGAAAGGTACCAGGCGTGTGTGTGTGTGAATGAGTGACACAAAGACGCTCTTCCCATGGGATTCATGGTACAGAAGGAGATGGCTTTTCTTTTCTGCTTTTAACCCTTTGCCTCTACTCTGTCTGTCTGGTGAAAATCCCCCAACCCAGCCAGCCAGCCACCGTTTGCCTTGCGGGGAAGCTGGGTCTCCAGGGCCCACATACAGAGGCCAGGGAGCGTGTTGGCTGTGCCCCCCCCCCCCAGTGCTGGCAGCTCCCCCCTGGCAGCTCCAGGCATTGCAGGAAGAACTCACCCTGCACCTGGCTGTCTGAGGCCCCTCGCCTGTTAGCCAGGGATGCACGGCCAGGAGCCGGCCCTGCGTGGGCATGGACCGCAGCACCTCACCCCCCCGGTGCAGCCGGGGGCATTGTTTCCATGTGGCACCTGCATGCGTCGAGGTGCCCGTCGTTCTTACGGGGCCTCTGGAGTGCCCGGTCAGCATCTCCGCTCTGCTCCCGGGCAGGACCTTCCCATCCAGCCCAAAGGCTGACCCCCTCCCCCCGTCTTCCTTCTTTCCTTCCTCCCCATCTCGGCTCCAGGCGCCGGCTGCCAAGGGGTGAACGAATCTGCCCAGCGGGTCCATGCCGTGCGTGAGCTCTACCGCTGGATCCTGCAAGTGCCGGATCAGGACCTTGCCATGACCTTCCAGGAGGTGAGGAGCTGTCCCGCCTCCATGGCCTCAGGCGGCCTTGCCTGCTCCCTTGGCTGGAGCAGAAGGATTTCTTGCGGTGTTCTTCACTGGTGCCGGGAACCTGGACCTTCTCCATCATGGCCTCAGCTCTGGCATCGTGCTGCAGGGCAGGGTGGGTGGCCTGTGGCCCTGCAGAGTGCAGTTTCTATCATCCCCACCTGGGGGAAGTCTGGCTAGTTCGGAATGGTCCGAAGCTGCCGGCCACTGAGTCGGCTGCTTGCTCCATCCACTCCAGTACTGTTGGCACGGACTGGCAGCAGCAGCTCCTGGGGTCCCGGCAGGAGTCCCAGGCTGGCTTCCCAGGGCCCTCTGCGGGCAAAGCAGTGCCTCAACCGCTGCGCAGTGACCTTCTCCAGCAATACCTTGAGGGCCCCGTGCAGTCAGCCCTGGGAGGGAGCAGTCCCCATGGCATACAGGGAAGCGTCTCCTCAGTGTGGCCCCCAGCCCTGCCTGGCAGCAGCTCGACTGGTCCTCCATGGCAAGGCATGTGACAGCCCTAAAAAGCACACTAGAGCACAATATCAGCTGCTGGAGAAGTTTTGCTGCTTTAACTTGTGTGGCCTGTTGCAGTTGTTTAAATCTGGTTTTAAAGTCGGCCTTTAAACAGATGCAGTGAAATCTTAAGAGGTTTTTATTGTCGACTGTAATTTATGTGTATCTTCCGTGCTGTTGTAAACCTCCAAGAGAGTTTCTGCTATTGGGCGGTACAGAAATGCATTTACTGATGCTGATGAAGTTGTGGGCCAGCTCAGCCCTGAGCGCTCGGCTGCCAGTGTGGATGGACAGGCACTCTGCACATGCTTCAGTGTACTGCATTATTGCTTCTGATTAAGTCCTGTGGGGCACTGCATCGTGCTGGTTCCAGGTTTGGGGAGCACTTGGGCAAGAGGATGTCGGTAGACCGTCCTCCTGGCATGAGCCTTCCTCTTTCCCTCCTCAGTGCTAGGACTTCTGGGACCAAGGGCACCATTCTCAAGAGAGAGACAAGGCCCCAGTGGATGGGCTCAAATGTTCCCCAAATGTTGGCCCCATTGAGCCCAAATGTTCTGAGGCTCACAGGAAGCTCCAGAACACAGACTGGGAACAGCGGAAATGTGGGGCTTGGACAAAACCAGCTCCTCTTAAGGGTAGTCGGGAAGCCCCTTTCCCAGGACACGTCCTCCCCCTCACCTCCCTGAGGCCGGGGACTCTGGGACTCTCGCCATGCCTTGCTGTTCTCCTCTTCCCTCAGATCCTCGTGGACTTGGGCTCCAAGAACGCCAAGGGACTCTACCAGGCCAGGGTCCGCGTCACCGTGGGACCCAAAGTGGCAGCCTTCACGGGGCTGGTCGGCCTGGAGAACGAGTCGCTCTATCGCAGCATGCCTGGACTCGTGGCCCTCGCTCTGGAGAGCCTGAAGACCTAAGCTGGTCCGGCGGGTGGGAGCCGTGGGGCTCCCTGCTCAGCCAGAGACTGAAAGCAGAGCAGCTGTCCTAGGCCTGCCGGGAGGCTGCGGAAATGCCAGCTGTGATGTGCTGCTGCCCAAACAGGCAGGTCCCAGGTGCCAGGACTGAAGGCAGCCAGGGCACCTCACCTGGCCGCAAAGTGCTCAGGGCAGGGGTGGGGAACCTCTGTGCCACGGGCCGAAGCTGGCCCGTGGAGGCTCCCATCCGGCCCACGGAGACTTGGGTTCCCTCTGCCGTTCTGGCCTCTCCTCCCCAAGCTGTGACTCAGAGGTCTACCCCGGGTTGTGCGTCTGGGAGAAATGTCTGGAAAGGGCTGCTTGGCCTTGAAAGGCTGACAGAGGGTCCTGCTTTGAATGTGGACTAATAGGTAGGAATTCCACCGTTGAGAAACGTGTCTGCCGGCCAATCCATGGTTCAGGTCATGGACAGCTATGTAATGGGAAATATTTATTTGTACAAAGAAAAGTTTATTCTATTTTTGTGCGTCAATAAAGCTCTATTTTGTGGCAAGGGTGTTGGAATTGCTCGAACAACTCTCCAAACAGCAAAACGTCTCTCCATGAGGCATTTATTGGGTTCATGTGACCTTCTCACTCATGGAAATTTGTAGGGCCTTTCATTATTTCTTCTTCGGGAGCCTCTTGAGTGTTTTCTACCCCTTTTAAGCATGAAATTTTAAATTGTGACAAATCGGAATGAAAACCGTGGGAGAAGTCATAAATCCAGGGAAGTGTGCTTATACTTCATGCCATCTTGTGGCTGGTGAACAGAATATATGGAAAGGCAGAGCCATGCAAGCCCTGGGTAGGCAGAGCTTGGAAAGGACCGTTCTTCCTCCCTTGGTGAAAGGCCCGTGATGACCGGTGTCTGTCGGAAGCCAAGCAGGACAGGTGTGTACCATCCAGAACTGCAAAATGGACCAGTGCTCCCTCCGTCCCATGTGGCTGATGCACCTGTGCAGGGGAACGCCTGTGCATGGACCTCACAGGTGTTGTGAGGATAAAAATGGGGGATGGGGGAGGAAACTGTGTACTTTACCTTGTACTCTTTAGAGTAAAGCTGGGATAAAAATGGAAGACCTGGATTTCCTTTGGATTGGCAACTCCATGCAAAAGAAGCAGTGTCTGACACACGAGGAGCATTCCAGCGGATGAAAGTTTTGCACTGGCGAAGCGGGAGTCCTCCTTGCGTGGAAATGTCCTTAGCCAGCCGCTGCCTCTGAAATTTGAGATGTTTCCAAATGAGGTTTTTTCCTGTGCAATCATTCTGCTCCTGACGCGGAATCTACGAAGGGTTGTGACGGCACTGCCTTCCATCCGTAACCCTCCGGTGTTTCCCCTCCACTTCTTTCACCATCATCTTCCTCCGAAGTGGCCGTGAAGGAGAGGACCGCGGCAGCACGGCCCAGTGACCGATGGTGGAGGAGCAAGAGCTGTCTCTCTGGGCGTGTGCCCATCCTGACCCGCTCACACTGAGCGCATATGCGCTTCGGCTTCCCATTTGCAGGCGCCCAATACCTGTCGGTTCACCTTTCCCGGCCACCCTCTACCTGGCCCCAGGATCAAGATCTGTGGCCTTCCTCTGAATGCTCCCTCCATAGCTGGGGGCAAAGCGTGGAGGAGGAAGCCCCTCAAGCACACCAGTGGCCCCACTGAGTCCCACCGGGCCTCAGCGCTGCTGTCCTTTTGGGGCCAGGGAGCACCCCACAATGGCAAGACATTTAAAGGGGACCCCAGCCGTTTTAACGGGCCTGGGTGTGTGCTTTGGGTGCCTCAGACAAGGCCAGGCTCCCTGGGGAAGACCGTCAGGGCAGGGAAGGCTGGAGGCGGTGGGGGCCCACCTATGAGATAGATGATTCCATCCAGGAAGTCACAGCCTTGAGTTTGCAGGACATTTTGGAGGATGTGCATTCCTGTGGCCACCAGAAGTTGGAGAAGACCTGACGGCATGCAAGAACAGCAACCTATTGTGTTTCGTTGTGTTTAGGAAGTGCGGTGCAGTGCCCAGAAAACTGTGGCTGTTTGGTGGGAGGGGAGGGCAATCTGCACCGGGTATGAAGCCCTGGCACCACCGGCCTTCCCTGGGGTGCTGCAGCAGCGGCTGCGCTAGCAGAGGCGGACGGTTGTGGCTTCGCCCAGGCAGATACACGCCCAACCCAGGCAGCTGCGCAAGGTTGCTTGAAGGCTTCGCTGCATCCAGTGAAGGGCTCTTCCAGGCACCGCGAAGCTGGGGTTGTTCCCGACTAGTCCTGTACAAACGCACGGCTCGGCTCGGCTCGGCTCCGCTCCCGTGACGGGCGCGCTGCGTTTCCCAGACCACCCAAGTCCTTTCCGCGCACGGGCCTGGCTTCCCGGTGGTTTGGCTCCTGCCGCCTTTGTCTCCCTGCGCTGAAAGGCAGCGCGAGCCCCGTGCTCTGCCGGCAGCAGCTGTGCGGCCTCATGGCCTGTTGCCCGGAGATCGTTTCCACTGGGTCAGGAAGCGACTGTCAGCGGCGTTGATGGATGGGGCAGGCTGAGCGCCGCGTCGAGCGGGCGGATGGGGCGCTCCGGAGACGCAGCGGCAGCCGGGTGACCCGGCTCCCACCCCGGAAAGCGGCATTTCAGAGCTCGGCCGCCGCATGCCCCTGCCGCCCCAGCCCCCGTTCGCGGCGCGAGGAGCCTGCGTGCCCGGCATGCCAAGGGGCCGGAGGAAAAGCCCCCTGTGCCGCACGGTGGCACAGCCTCCGACAGTCCCGAATGTGGCGGGGGAGAGAAAGCATCGGGGTGTGGAAGGTCTGTGTCCTCCTTGTAGTGCTTTGGCAGACAACATCAGAGGGCAGGGAAAAATTAGGGGGCAGCCCCCTGCCCCTCCGGCCGCCGGCTGTGGGGAGCTGGAGTCTGCCAGCTCCTCGCCCTTCATGTGCCCACTGGACTGTCCGCAGGCGGAAGGCAGAGATCGGGTTGCTGCCTCCCGCTCTGGCTGCTACCCCCCCCCCCCCGGCACAGCTGCCGCTGTCCATCCAGCGTCCCAGCCCAGACTTCCGATCCCTGGCACGCGCGCGCACATGCACAGGGAGGTGGCCGGGGAGAGCTGGCGGGGCGCGGCGAGGATGGTGCTGTGGCTTGCTCTGCTGGGGGCCCTGAGCCTGTCAGGTGAGGATGCACCCGGTGGCCCCCCAGCACGGGCCCGGCGGGGGCGCCCAGGCACTGCTGCGGCCGGCTCTGCTCTGGGCTGCGGGAGGCTGTTCCAGGAGCAGAAGGAGCGGGGCCTGCCATGGGGCGATCGGCTCCGGAGGCGGCGGGGAAGGGGGGGACTGGGGTCTGGGCGCCACTGCCCGGCTGGATGCACCCGGTGGCCTCTTCTTTTCCTCTCCCCTGCATGTTCCCGGGTGGTGCTCAGTGGGTGGGCTCAAAGGCAGCCTGGCCGAGCTCTTGGGGGGCCGTGTCCCAGGAGGGCCCACTGCCCCCTCCCCTGTCTTGCACCTCCTCTTCCTCATGGCCACCTGCTTGCTTGCCTGGCCTCTCACTGCGGCTCAGGCAAGGGAGGGAAGCGTGGGGGGGGGGGGGGGCTGCAGCCAGCCTGAAAAGCCAGCGAGGGGCAACCAGAGGTGGAGGAGAACCAGTTGTGGCTGATGACTGTGGGGTGAGGAGGGGGACTTGACTTGTGGGGGGATCAAAGGCATCTTCCCAAGGACCCCCAAAGCCTGGAGCTGGCTCTGTGGGGCTTATGGGACCTGTTGCCCAAAACATCTGGAGAGAGGCAGGTGGCTGTAAAGCAGGACCAGGCCCCCGCTAACCGAAGGGCTGTGCCCCAGTCTGGAGAGGCGCTCAAGGGCTGCAGGCTAGCAGTGGGAGGGGTCACAAGCACATGAGGCAGGTGGAAAAAGCCTGCAGGTCGCAGCTTAAAGCTCTTATTGGACTGACGATTCCGCAGTCGTGAATCGGGGCTCGGCTGGGGAAGGGGCATTTGCTGAGCAAAACACCCGGAGGGCCCCAGGTGGCCTGCCCTGGCCCAGATGGGTGCAGGGCCTGCTTCGGTGGTGGGGCCCCCTGAGCTGAGCGCCGGGCTCTGGCCTGCCTCCAGGGAGCCATGGCACAGGGGGCCCTTCCACGCACGCCACTTGCACACGCTGCCGAAAAAGCTCGCCTTCCTCTTGGCTCAGCGCGCCTGACCTCCAGAGGATTAGAAGGTGACCAGATCCTGGGGAGGAGCCCAGGCCCTGCCTCCCTTCCTCCTGGTGAGCAGAGGAAGAGCCCAGTTGTCCAGACACCTCTGCCCGCAGGGTCACTATTCGTCATGTGGACTGATGCTAGCAAAGCACCATGCGCCTCTGATGGGCAGGATCCGGAAGGCCCAGAATCCCCCACTGGGCTGCACTGCTGCGTACGGAGAGCCTGCTCTGCAGAAGCTATGCATGCCATGTTGCCCTTCGGCCAGGCGCCCCATCACTGGGAGTCCAGCTCAAACTGGATTGGTTAAGCAGGCCCTGCAGTTGCTTGACGGGCTCAGAAATACAGGTGACAACCTAGATTCAGGCTGGGCATCAGGAGAAGCTTCCTCCCTGGCAGAGCAACACGACAGTGGAACCAGCTGCCTGGAGAGGTGGGGAGCTTTCCCACACTGGAGACATTCAAGAAGAAACTGGGCAGCCCTCTGAGTGGGATGGTGTGAACTGGTGTCCTGCGACCACAGGGGGGTGGACTTGATGGCCTTCATGGCTCCTTCTAACTCTACTATTCTACGGTCCGGTGTGGGAGATCCAGGTTCCGTTCCTCACTCAGCCATAGAGCTCACACAGGGAGCTGGGCCAGTCACAGACTCTCAGCCCAACCTACCTCACAGGGTTCCTCTGAAGATAAAACAGAAAGGAGGAGCCTTGATTTCCTTGCAAGAAGTAATGGTGGGATCTCAGTGCAACAGCAAACGAGGAATGCCTCAGATCTAAGGGGCGGCAGCCACTTCTCTCCACCTCCCCACCAGCTTTCCCTTCACAATCCAGCCTTCCACAGGTCTTCTGAAAGATGCCCAGGTGCCCACCTGCCCTGCTTGGCTCCTGGCTGCAGGGTCTCCCCAGTGCTGCCTCCGGGTGATCAAACATTTGTAGCACCGGCTCTCCGGGAGGCGCTTGGCCACATCAGCCTCCAGGGGTGATCTGGAAGGCCCCACATCTCCCTCTCTCTCCCCCCAGGCACCCTGGCTGTGAACATGGAGGAGCAGCTCATCAAGTACCTTTTCGAGGAGAAGGGCTACAACAAGAACCTGCGCCCCGTGGCTTCCAAGGACGAGAGCATCACCATCTACCTGGCACTGACCCTCTCCAACCTGGTGTCTCTGGTGAGTTCTCCCCAGGCCTCTGGGATCAGGGGGCAGCCAGTTGCCCCCTGGCTGAACCGTGCCCCAGTAATCCCTGACCATTCAGCATCCTGGCTGGGGCTTAGGGGAACTGGCTGTGCTGAGAGGCCGGGCACTCAGCTTTGCCAGCTTCCCCAGGGTCCGTGTGGTGGGATTCCAAAGGGGAGACACCGGGAAGAGGCGATGGGAGAGCAGGAGCATCAAGGGGGACCTTGCAGCTCCATCCAGGATGTTGCAGGCAGCTTCCCAGGCTGACCCTGAGAGCAGACCTGCTTTGGGAGAGACGGGAGGGACCCAGGAGAGCCGGTGCCTTGCCTTGTCCCTGGCCCTGGGAGAGGCAAGACACTCAGCCAGAGGGTTTGTGTAGCTCTTGCCAGCTCGCTCTCCCCTTGGGAGCCACTGAAAGGGAAGGCTTGCGGAAAAGTCTCCGGTTTGGGCTCAGCGCTTTGTACATGAGTGGGAGCTATCCTTCAGCTTGCCTGAGGGCATTTAGAGTTGCACTGCCCTGTTCATTAATTAATTGATTAGTTCATTCATTCATTCATTTATCAAAAGCTTTTCTAACTTGTTCACTACAAGCATCTCAGGGCAGCTTACAAAAGGTGAGTCGAATAAAGCAAACGAGGGCCAGTTGCAAAGCGCCAGCAAAGATCTGTACGGTAAAAGGACTCCGGTGTTTTGGAGCCTGGGGCAGGAAAGGAAGGGCTTGGCTCATGGCACCAGCCCTGATGGCCATGTGCAACCTCCGCTATCAGAGGCAGGACACCTGTGCGCCCCAGCTGCCGGGGAACATGGGTGGGAGGGTGCTTGCTTCATTCTTGGTCTGATCCAGCTTGGGCGCCTCTCATGTCCTCATGGCTTCTGTGCTGTGAAGGGCAAAAGAATCCACAACCCAAACAGCATCGTTCCCGCCCTGACAGGTAGCGCTGGGCTCGTTCCCCCGAAGGGCTCTGCTGGCCCTAAAACAGCCCTCTGCACCCCGGTGGCCCCCCAGCGTGTGGGACTGAATGCCCAGCATTCCTCACCCCCCAGCACGGCCGTTGGCTGCATTGCAAGAAGGCGCCCGTGACGTTTTCCCAGCGTGGCAAAACCGCCGCTGCTCCCCATGTCTTTGCAGGTGGGGCTGTCCCAAAACGGCAACGCCTTTGCTCGCCGGTGATAGATGTGAAAGGATGATTTGAAACGAGGGAGTAGAAAAATTTAAAAGGGTAGCCAAGAAAAGTACTTAGCCCAAAGGAGAGGAGGGGCCAAGATCAGATAGCACAAGGTACGGGGAAACAGGCACCACATAGGCAGGAGCGCCAAATACTTCCTGATTGTTTATTGCCGAGCTGGGCAGAACAAAAGGAGCCCATTGTTGCCCACGGGGAGCAGGGCTGGATGGGGAAGAAGGGCCGGTGGTGGGGCAGCGCGGAGCAGGCGGGCGGAAAGGGTGCAACGCTCAGTGCCCTATTAGCCAATTAGGGGAAAGGGGAAGGGAAGAGGTGCCCGGAGCAGCGTTCAGAAGGGGGTGTGAACATGTGCTCCGGTGAACAGACAAATGGGGAGGAAACCATTCTTTTCCGTTCCCTTCATTGCAATAAAGTTTTAAAAAGAACTCTGCATGCCTGGAATATTTTTCCCTTCCAACAGAAAGGGAAGAGTGATCATAACAATGTGGATCCCTGTAGAAGATCCTCTTTTCAAAAGTGCTGGAATTTTGACAGCCAGCTGTCAACCTTGTTTCCTTAAAACAGAGGAAGCTCATACTTTTACATATTCCTGAGCACCTGGAGTCTTGGGAACAAGTGGAAAGTGAGAGCACCCTGAGGACAGTGAGGTCTCTTCTCCTTCCAAGAAGTGGGTACAAATCCCAGCGCATGAACATATGCTGCGGTGAACAGAAAAATGGGAAGGAAACCATTCTTTTCTCTTCCCCTCATTGCAATAAAATTTTAAAAAGAACTCTCTGCATGGCTGGAATATTTTTCCCTTCCGACAGAAAGGAAAGAGTGATCATAACACCAGCAAGGTGCATTGGGAGCAGACTGCTTGTCTGCACATCGGTTTGTGCTCCCTGACCCTCCGGAAGCGCCGTTCTGTCTGGTGGGGGGGGGGGGGGGGTGTGCTTGCATGTTTTGTTTTTTTGCAAAAATACTGGGGTTTCTTTGCGGCGGGGGGGGGGGACTGGGGATCAGCAGAGAGGCAAAGTGTTGCAAAAACAGCTGCACTTTATTTATTAATTTATTAAAAGCTTTTCTATCTCGTCCCTGACAGAACATCTCAGGACAGCTTACAATAAATAAGTAGAATAAAACAAACCCCAAGCATCTGATCATTAATATATTAAAACCCCAGTTAAAATCAATTAAACATTAAAATAATGGGAAAATAAAAAGGGGTTTGCCTGATGCTGAAAAGAATATAACGTCAGCGTCAGGCATCCCTCTCTGGGGAGCGTATCCCATAGTCGGGGCGCCACCACAGAGAAGGCCCTTCCCTGGGAGCTCTCCCTCCTAACCTCCTTCAAGGAGGGCTCCTGGAGCAGGGCCCCCGATCTCAAGGGGCAGGGGGCGCATAGGGGAGAAGGCGCTCCTTCAGGGAACCAACTTTGCGCCTGGTTGCACTAATTCCAAGACACCAAAGTCCCTTGATGTGCGGCCTCCCTTTCCACAAGTCATGCTTCTGACACACATGATGCCAGTGAGGAATTGCTGATTGATTGATTGACTGATTGCACTTACTTATTATATTTCTATATTGCCCAATTGCAGGACCTCTTCGGGAAGTTCACAGAAGTCTGATGTTCTGCTACTACTGAGACTCTGCCTTTGAAAACTTCCTTGTTCTGATTCTTCTTTTGTGTTTCACAGAAAGAAGCTGATGAAACCCTGACGACCAATGTCTGGATTGAGCATGTGAGTAGAATAAATCGTGTCAGTTCCAGCTTTCCCGCATCCCAGGGAGCAGCAAGGCATGCTGGGGCAGAAGAGGCCAAGGTCGGCTCCCACGCTGAGTGTCCGCATGCCATGGGTCCGATAACGGTATCGCAGGGCCGAAGCAGCAGATTGAGAGGGGTGGAGAAGGTGAGGTGGGAAGTTACCCCCTTCCAGTTCATTTCAGACCTTCTCCCAGAATGCTCTGTTTTCTTTATTTAAAACATCAAGTTTCTATTTGCTCATGGTAGCATGCAGTGCCGTAAATCTCACTGATTGCTTCCAAAGAATGAGTGCAATTAAGGGCACGATCCTTGTCGCACCCCACACAGTGCGACTTGGGTCCTCTATTCTGGTTCTTCGGCCATGACTTGCCCTGCTGCAAGCCCAAGATTCTGAGGGTTCTTATGGAAGGTACCTTGCATGGACACCTTCCTCATCCTCTTCCTCATCCCGGCTCCCACTTGCTGGCTCGACAGGCCAGAAAACAGTCAGCAAATCGACACCGGGACTTCTGCACCGCGTCCTCTCCAGGACCGTTTCCCGGGCCAGAGCAGGAGAGGGGCTGCAGTGGTGGGAGCCAGGGGCAGGTCTTGGGGGGCTTTGGTCCATGGGGCCTGCTGGGCTGCAGGTGCTTGGCCTTGGCCCCAGCTTCGTGCCACACTGCCCCTTCCCACCACGTTTCTGACCGTGGGTCAGATGCACCAGCCCTTCTGATGCAGAGAAGAGAAGGAAGGGCCTTGGGAGCAGTCAAGGCGAGAGCAGCCATTAGTTCGGTAAAGCCAGGGGTTGGTTTTTAGAGAGCGGAGGCACATCTGGGGCATGGAAGGTGCCTTGCCGTGCATGCGGATGGAGCCCTCCCGCTGCAGGGGGCAGAGTGTCCGAAGAGCACATATTCTTGGCTTCCCACAGGGGTGGACAGATTACCGGTTGACATGGAACAAGTCAGAATTCGGGGGCATCACGGTGCTCCGCCTCCCGCCGGACATGCTGTGGCTGCCAGAAATTGTTCTGGAGAACAAGTAAGCATTTGCCAGGGCACTGCTGGAGCCACTGTTCATCCTCTTCTTTATACAATAAATAAATATTTATTCATTGTATTTATGTCCCACCTTTCTCCCGTTGTGGCTGCACGTGGTTCCCAGGGGTCTCCCCGCCAAGCTCAGACCAGCCCCAGGCCTGCTTCGCTTCAACGTGGTGGAAGCCAGATGTGCCCTCAGACATACCCTGGGCTTCTTGGGCTCAGCTTGCCCTTCAGTCAAGGGGGGCCAGTGTGGAGAGGACCAGCAAACACCCCCTGAGGAGGGGGCAGGAGAGGGTGGGACGAACCCTCTCTGCGTTGTGTGTATGTGTGTGCTTGCCCTGGTTTTTATGCAGTGCTATTGTGCTGCAGTTTCTGCGTTCAGTTTCGTGGCAGATTGAGATGGGAGCTTTAGGCAAAGATTGCCTCGCCTCTTTTTCTGCTGCACAGCCCCTAGGTGGCGCAGTGGTCAGGTGAAATACTGCAAATGCACAAGGGAAAGACACGCTTTCTTTTTCTTTCACAATTAAATGCCACATTTTCCCTGCTGTTAAAAACAAACACACACACACACACACACACACACACACACACACACTTGCTGAAAATGCTGCTTTGGCACAGAAGTGAAACTGGAAGCTCACAGTTTCATTTAAAGAACCCCAAAAACCCATAAATCTGAGCCTTCTAAATTTCTGAACTTGATTGAAATGCATTATGGCTACAAAATTTAAAATGTACAGTCATGTTTCATGCATGCTTTTAGCTGTTTTAAACTCTGCCTTGGTGTGTCAGGACGGATAAGATCTGGCTGCATTCTCCAGCAAGAGCAGAGGGTCTTTCAGAGCAGGGCTGGAGTGGGAAACCTATTCCTCAATAAAGTAGTACTGCAGCTCCCATCAGCCCAGGTAGCTTGGCCAGGGATCATGGGTGTTGGAGTACAACAACATCTGGAAGGCCACAGGTTCCAAGCCAGTTGGATGGCTCTCTTGGGTGGAATGAGGCTTGATTGAGAAGCGACTTCCCCTTTCATCTGTAGGACTTTCTTTCCCTGCCCAGCAACGATGGAGAATTTGAGATCACCTACAGTGCCAATATACTTCTGTATGACTCTGGCAGCGTGTACTGGCTGCCTCCCGCCATCTTCCGCAGCGCCTGTCCCATCAACGTCAACTTCTTCCCCTTCGACTGGCAGAACTGCTCCTTGAAGTTCAGGTAAGGAACAGCAAGCCCTTCTGCTTGTTCCTGGTGTGCGTGTGTGTGCGTGCAAGCTGCCCCCCTAGAGTTCCAGCAGCCACAGAGGTCTCCCTGGGGTGGGCTAGCAGGTTGCGCTGGCTACCTCAAGATCCCAAAATCCCACTGTAGTTCAATGGGACTTAAAGGACACCGAAGGTATGGAGGTTCTCAAGATCTTGTGATCTCTTCATTGGCAGGATGCGACGGAGGCTGGGCTGGGAGTGAGGGCGAACAGGAGAGGAAACAGACGAAATGTGGGAGCAACGTTTCCAGGCATTCTTGCTGAATTCTAACAATAACAGCTTGATGGTGTATTTCCAAAAAGCAGGGAGGCGGGCTCATCCACCATTTGTGGCTTTCTTATTCCCAGCAGACAGATCCAGATGAAACCCAAAACCACCCAGCAGCTGGCAGAGCCCGATTTGAATGTCTGCAGACATCTCCCTTCCATTTGCACATTCATGGTGCATTCCGGATTCCTTCCTAGTGCTAGTCTGGGGGAGCACCACACGATCCTCTCCCATGGCCCCTCCCATTCGTTGCAAGCATTTCTGCAGCATTTTTAAAAGATTAAGATTGCGGTTGCCTGTGAATGACAACATAAAACCCTGGTGGAGTTGCACAGTTCTTCTGCACCAGAGCACTGCATTGTAGTTGTGTGGTTGAAGTGCAGAGAATGAAAAGTCCCGGGAAAGGCAATTCCCACAATAAAGAACCTGAAAACAGAACTTCAGTAGGGGACGGGTTGAGTCTCCCACAGAAACATCCTTCAGCTTAAGATTACCTGGCCATGAGGCAAGTCCTTTTGCCCACCCCAGCACCACCTGCTTGTAACACCTGACGAAGTGATCCAAAGGTCTCAAAACAGGAACACTTCGGGGTGTCCCTTTGAGTTGGTTTAACACAGGCACAATGTTCATCGCGATCTGGAAGTAGTTTCTGCAGGCGTCTGGCTGAGAGGAAGGGAGCGGCGGGGGGGGGGTTCTCTGTGGGAGGAACAAATCCAATGTTGGGGAAGATTTGGTGGGTGGGGGGACTTCATTCCAGTGGTGGGTGCAGTTAAAGGGGCCTATCAATATACTTGATATGCCAAGCTGCTTTAGGTTTCAGCCCTACAGAAGGCAGGGAACCAAGGAAAAGCTGGAATACCATCAAATGGTCAGGGAAAGAGAATGGGAATTTGTTTGTTTGTTTGTTTGTTTGTTTGTTTAAAACTTTTGTATACCGCCACTGTCCCATCCCAAACATCTCAGGATGGTTCACGACAACAATAAAATAGAATAAAGATAAAAGTTGCACAGCATCTGGCATTAGGTGTAAAACCACAGATTAAAACAAATTAGCAATTAAAATAGTGGGAGAATAAAAAGATTTCCGCCTGGTGCCGAAAGGAAAGAAGCATTAGTGCCAGGTGAAGCTCTCTGGGGAGCGTGTTCCACAGTCGGGGCGCCACCACAGAGAAGGCCCTCTTCCAGGTACCCTCCTAATCTTTTTCAAGGAGTGCTCCTGGAAGAGAGCCTCTGCCTCAGATCTCAAGGGGTGGGAGGGCACATAGGAAGAAGGCACTCCTTCAGGTATCCAGGACCCAAGAATTGTGTGTGTGTGGCGGGGGGGGGTGTTGTATAGCCTTCAGGGGCACCCTGGGGTAGATGAATCTTGGTTAAGAAGCTGAGGAGTCACTCCAGGGCCATATGTGAGCTAGGTAACCATATGTGAAGCTGGATTAACACGATGTCCCTGGATCATGGCTGTTGAACCTTGGCCCATCAGCCGTAAGGTTGTCTTAACTGAATGAAACGGCAGCGGTTTGTATACATTTGGTGCCTCCAGTAAATGTGCCGGTCATGGAGGTGCTGAAGATGGTGCTGGGGCGACCTTGCCTTGGAGCAGAGGTAGCCTAGAAACACAGAAGCAGAGTGAGTCAGAAGGGGTCTCCCAGGCCATCTAGTCTGACCCCCGGCTCCAACTGGCTCCACTCACAACATGCCCACCATGTAACAGCTGTCGGTGCACCCCTTTCCCAGCTCTCTGATGTACAACGCCAATGAGATCAACATGGAGCTCATGACCAAAACCGATGACAAGACCAAGAAGAACTACCTGGCCCAGTGGATCATCATTGACCCGGCCGGCTTCACCGGTAGCGAGGGGCTCCATCGGGGCTTGCAGGGCTGGGAGGGCAGCTGTGGCTTTTCAGGGGGCCTTGGGAGGAAGGAAGAGCCTCATCCTCCACTGTTGGGGTCCCCTTGTTCCCCCGACAGCAGTTGAGCTTCCCGGGAGTGCTCAGGTTGAGGCCCTGCCTTTCCACTGTCCCTCTTTCTGCCCTGACCTTGGCTGGGGGGGTGGGGGGCTTTGAGGGGCCCTTGGTTGAGGCCAGCTGCCCTTGCTCCTCGCTCGTTCTTGTCCTCATCTCTGCTCCCTCCTGCTCACCTGAGCAGCCGACAGATGGGGAGGCCACAGTCCCAGCGGCTGGCGCCTCTCCCCACCCCTACCACGGCTGGCTGGAGCAGGGAGCAGACGAGCGAGGGGGCATCCTGGGGGATCAGAGCAGCAGGTCCTCTTGGAGGCAGCCAGGGGGGTGGTGCGGCCATTCTGGAGGTCCTGGAAGGGCATCATCCTGCAGGGGTGAAAGGAGAACGCCTCGAATTACCGTATTTTTCCATGTATAAGATGCTACTTTTTCTTTAAAACGTTTACTTAAAAATGAAGGTGCGTCTTATACATGGGGGCCCACAGGCGTGCTGTGGGGGCTGGAGACGGGCGTGCTGGAGTGGGTGGCGGGCACGTGCGGGCAGGGGGTGGTGAAGCAGCATGCGTGTGATGGCAGCTTGTTTGCTGGAGATGGGTGGGCGAAGTGGGGGGCGTCCTATACATGGGGGCGTCTCACAGATGGAAAAATGCAGTATTTCTACCAGGAAGGATGGCTTCTGGGTGTTTTCCCCCCGGTGGAAATGATGCAGCTCCTACCCTAGCCCCCCCCCCTTGCTCCAAGCGCCCCGGGCACGCAAAGGGGGGGTGTGGAGGTGGGTGCCTGCAGGCGCCAGGTCTCGTCCTCGCCGCCCACTCGGTTCTGGACTCCGGGGTGTTTAAACCATGGGGCTTGCTTTTGCAGGGGAAGCCTTCCAAGAATGCAAGAAAAGCCCTGCTGGATCGGACCCGAGGTCCATCCCGACAAGTGCTCCATACACACAGGGGCAAAGCGGGGGTTGCCCAAGCGGGATGGGGGCAGGACCTCCCCCTGCCCAGCTCCTCAGCAACTGGGCTGTGCCGGCAGGCCGCCTCTGGTCAAGGAGGGAGGCCGTGGCCAGCGGCGCCGGCAGCCACTGCTCGCCTCCTCCCCCTTGAATCTTCTGATCCCCTTTAAATCCATCCAGACTGGTGGCCAGCACCGCTTTCTGTGGCGGCAGATTCCATAATGTCACTGTCTGCTGTGTGAAGGAGTCCTTGCATCGACCTGCCCTAAACCTCCCACCCATCAGCTTCCTGGGACGACCCCGGTTTGAGTGTTATGGGAGAGGGAGAAAAATGCCCCCCCCCCGTTTCCCCACACTGTGCCTTGTTCTGAACACCTCTATCTCGTCTCCCCTTCCTCGCCTTCTCTCTAAGCTGCACAGTCCCCGTTAGCACCCTTGGGGAGCGGCTGTAACGCCCTCATCCCTTCAGGGCTCTTCTCTGCTCTTTTCCTATCTCTGCAGTGCCCTTTTCCAGGGGCAGCAACAGAGCTGCATACACTCTTCCAGGGGTGCCCACGCCAACAATTTGCACGAGGCGGGGATGACTTTGGCCGCTTTGTTTTCGGTTCCTTGCTTGATTGTGCCCGATCTGGAGTTTGCAGCCCTTCCCAAATGGAGGCCCTGCACCTGCCTGGAACTACAACTCCCAGCATGTCCCAGTTGCACGAATTTTGTCGGCAACACAGTAGTGGTGTTGCGGGGGGGGGGGGTCAGGCTCCAACGGACTCCAAGGGTCCCAGATTTCCCCAGATCTTCCGAAGGTGCCCCTCCCTGCTTCAGCTATTGGAGGTTGCTTTACCCCAAGTCTGATTCCCAAATAGGAATCTCCTTTAAAGTTCAGAGTGGATCCCCGAGTGGATCCACTGCCCCCCACAGGTGGTGGATCCACCAGCTATTGCTGAATGGGATCTGAACCGCCACCCATAAAGCCCCTCTTCTGACCCCATGGGGGGGCAGGAAAGTGACCCGGGGGCGGACTGGTGCCCGTGGACACCATGTTGCGTGGCGAGCCATTTGGGGTGGCATCCGCACCCCTCACCGGGCTGTGGGCCTCTCCCCCAACCCACCCACGCCTCCTTCGGCTCCCCTGATCCAGAGAACGGAGAGTGGGAGATCGTGCACAAGCCGGCCCGCAAGAACCTCGACCCGAGCATCCCGCGCGAGAGCAACAAGCACCAGGACATCACCTTCTACCTCATCATCAAGCGCAAGCCCCTCTTCTACATCATCAACATCGTCACCCCCTGTATCCTGATCGCCTTCATGACCATCCTGGTCTTCTATCTGCCGGCTGAGAGTGAGTGAAGGCCTTGCCTGCCTCCGGGGAAGAGCTTTGCACCCCCATCCCGTGCCTTGCCTGGTCCCTGGAGATGATTGCAACGCTCGTCCCTGTGCTCACAGAAACATAGAAGCAGAGCGAGTCAGAAGGGACCTCCCAGGCCATCTAGTCTGACCCCGGCTGCAGCTGGCTGCGCTCACGACATGCCCACCATGTGCATGTCCAGCCTATCCCTGAACACCCTCACTGATGGGGCTTCAACCACCTCCCATGGAAGCTCGTCCCACTGTTAGACCCTCTCCATCCTTGATTCTCAACCCACTGCCCTTTAATGCCATTTTCCACCCAGCTGAATGGTGGGTCATGAAGTGGAGCTACAGATATCTGCCCCATAACCCATCATTCAGCTGGAAGCAAGGCTGAATTGTTGTTGTTGTTGTTGTTATCGTTACCTATCCCCATAGAGGGGATTCCCTTTTGGAGAAGCTCTTGGAAGCCACATTCCACTAGTGGCTGTGGAGCCAAAGACAATTGTGGTGGGGTCCGAAAAACAAAAATAGCCCTTGAATTCAGCACAAAGCTCTCCCTTCCACTGACTGAACCCTGGGAGAAGCATCTCCACTTCTCAGGGTGAGGAAACACTGCCTCAAAGCCAGCCGCCCAAGCCCCACGGGTCGTAGGACAGGTATGGCCAAGAGCTGTAGGAACTGGCCCAGGAACTGGCCGCCTGGGCTGCTCCGGAGGGCCAGATTGGTCCGCGGGCCTCGGGGTTTGGTTTCCTGATCCTTGCACTAAGTGCTGCTTGGCACTGAGGATTTGCAGGGTTCTGGGGGGGGGGTGTCACCTGGTCCCCTGTGCTTTCCTTCCAGGTGGGGAGAAGGTGACCCTGGCCATCTCCATCCTGCTGGCCCAGTCCGTCTTCCTGCTGCTGATCTCCCAGCGCCTTCCAGCGACCTCCTTCGCCATCCCGCTCATCGGCAAGTAAGTCTTTCTCTGCCCAGCATGGGGCTTGGGTTCCGGAGCTGAATGCAGGAAAGGAAGCCGAGCAATCAGAGCAGAAATGAGACAACCAGGGCTGTCTTGCTGGTGGACGGGCCCAGTTTTGGAGAAGGGTTTTCAGGAGACGACACAGCAACCAGGCAATGCAACTCCTGCCTTCTGCAGGTTTTCCTCGGCACGTGGATGTTGTACGGATCACACAGCTAGGTTTCTCTCTGGAACCTGAGATGGGGGTGCTGGACACGGCCTTCCCAGTGGTGGGTCCCTTGCTGTGAATTCACAGCTCTCAGGAGCCTGACTGATCTTTGCCTTGACCTCCCCTTGCCAGTTTAACACTGGCAAACATGCATTTAAGGCAGGGTCTCAAACTCGCGGCCCGCGGGCCAATTGCCAGGACGGATGGGGCATAGGGGAGGGGCCCTGCGGCCTTCAAATTGCCGGCGGGGCCCGGGCCGGCTGCGGGATGAGTGGCCCACCATCACCGCGGTGGTGGGATACTTGATGCAGCCCAGCCTCACCCAGAATCTACTTGCAGCGGCCCCCAGCTCAGTTGAGTTTGAGACCCCTGATTTAAGGTTTGCTTCTCCATAAAGCAGTCCAGAATTATGCTGTGTCTTCTAGTACTTTATTTGTTGATTTAAAACTTGTATATACCATCTGCTTACCGAGGTCTCGGGATGGTCTTCCAATGAAACAGAGTAGACCACACCATCCAAGCTGATTTTCTGTACAAATAAAACCCCACATTAAAATCACACTCAACACTTAAAATAATGGGAAAATAAAAAGGCTTTGGCCTGGTGCCTAAAGGAACAAAGTGTCGGCACCAGGCAAACCTCTCTGGGAAGTGTATTCCACAGCTGGGGTGCCACTGCAGAGAAGGCCCTTCTCTGGGTAGCCACCCTCCTCATCTCCTTCAAGGAGGGCTCCGAAGAAGGACCTCCGTACCAGATCTTAAGGGGCAGGCAGGCACATATGGAAGGAGGTGCTCCTTCAGATATCCAGGTCCTAAGCCTTTGGGGGCTTTATCGGTCATCACCAGCACCCTAAATTGGGCCCGGACTTCACTTGGTAGCCAGTGTAGACAATAGAGGACCGACGTTACATGTGAACACCTGCCGGTCCCCATTAACATCCTGGCTGCCCTGTCCTGAACCAACTGAAGTATCCGGACCGTCTTCAAGGGCAGCCCCACGTAATTTCTCTTCTAATTTCATTTCTCTTCTTCGTTGCTGGATGGTTTGTAAAAATAATTTGAGATTCCCCTTCCTGCCAATTATTTCACTGGCTATTTCAATGGGGCAGAGCAGAACCCGTTGAACAGGCCAGTGGGACACCTGAGCACTTCAAACGTGCTTCATGCTCCGCAGGTACCTCCTCTTTGTCATGCTCCTGGTGACCGCGGTTGGGGTGGCCTGCGTCGTGGAACTCAACATCCACTTCCGCACACCGAGCACCCACATCCTGTCCGACTGGACCAAAGAGGTGAGTCGGGAGGGCTGGACAACGGGGGGAGAATTCCCCATTCTAAAGAACGGTACTAAAAGGCATTTCCAGAAAACAGAACCCTCTGTCCCTGTTTTTGATGACTTGAATGTTGGCAAATGCAACCCTGGGGCCTTGTTTGTGCAAACTGATCCAGAAGATTGTCTTGATAAATCCCTGAAGAGGCATCACCCCTTAAGAACCCCTCCAAAGTACATCTGCCAATCCATGTTGCCCAATAGGAGAAGAAAACTGGGAAGCTGCCCCTATTCGAGGTCAAAATATTTGACCGTCTGGCCCAGGGAGTTTTGGATCGCAGCTCCCATAAACTGTGGTGAATGGTCAGGGTTGTCAAGACCCAGAAATGCAAGCACTCCAAAAGTGTGCAGTCAGAAGAAATTAAATTTTATTCAGACATACAGGATATGTGCTTGTAGGTATAGAGAATTTAGCTGCATAAGATGCTTCCAGAAGGTTTCAGTCCCACAGACAGTTGTGAGTCACATAACACTTAGAATTCTTATTACACAGAAGTGACTGTGAAACGTAAAAGAGAGAAAAAGAGTCAGAATAGACGGGAAACTACATAAGAAAATGCACCAAGGAGGAGAAAACTGGACTAGGAATATTGTTGCTTCTTTAACGAGCTGTCAGTCAGGGAACTACTGTAGCTGGGCAATACGTTTCCTTCTTAACAGGTTGTCAATCAGAATTAGCTAAATTGGCAACCTTGTACCTTCCCTAACAAGATCAAATGTCCATCATGTCACTTTCAGGGTATTGTTGTAAATTTCAGACTTTCTGCGGCAATTATGGTGGTGCTTTGGCTCAGCTGCTACTGATGGGACTTGTAGTCTGATGCCTCTGGAGGGTGCTGGGATGGCAAAAGCTGGCAAACCAAAGTAGAACCAAAGCTCCTCACATGTGCCAAGCTAGAGCAGAAGGCTCCCCCGAGGGACGGATCCAGACCCTCCTGCAGAGAAAGGGCACAGTCCAGGACCGCTGTATATATCAGGAGATGTGGTGTGGACTAGGAACCTGGGCGATCTGGGTACACAAAGCTTGCTGCATGACAGGGGGGGCCATCCCTCTCCTTCAGCCTAACCAACTCACAGCGTTTATATTATTATATTTATTATGTTTATTTCATGTATATACTGCCTCACTAGCCCAGAGGGCTCTCCGAGTGGTTTACAAGATTAAAACCCCAATACAAAGACTAAAATACCCAATTAAAACATAAAAACCCCTAAAACAACCCTTAAAAGATGACAAACAGCAGCAACTCCATATAAGCCTACAATCTAGCAGCAGCAATACAATATTACAATAGAAATATATAATTTTTCCGATTCCAAGATGGCGTCGGAACGAGACGGATGTAATTAATGGAGCTCTGTTATCACGCCGGTATTACTCGGCAGCAAGTCGTGGGAGACTCATCTAAGCCCTGTACGGGCGAAGACAGATTGCCTGGGCATGCTTTTGGCTTGATGTGAGATGGCAATCTCATATCTGCTGAGAGCAATTCAGGTACTTCTCAACCGAGTAACACAGGGGGTGGTTTCAGCCCCTTCAAGTTCTCGACATCTTAGAAGATTAGCTTAGGATTTTTATTAGCCGGATAAGCATTGGAACTGCTGAGTAAATATTTTTTACTTCTTTCGCAATATTACCTGTGGAAAAGCTGCATTTGTTTATAATTTGGCATTAAGAAAAGAAAAACCCTCCGGATGCTTAGACGGCGACTAAGATGAGAGAGTGCTGAGGCTTTTGGCCAAGTTGAAGCCGAAGAAAAAGACTTTTTCCTCTAACCTCTCTAAGGGTATAAAATTAGTTTAAATTTTTAAGGTGCAATTACGTGATAGAAGTTCAAAGCTTTCACCGACCATTTTGGATATCTGTTTGGACTTCCACCAAGATCAACTGGACACTCGCCAGGATATTTTTCACATTGTCGGATGCTTTCTTCTTTAATGTGATGACTGTTTGGGTGAGCATTCCTGTTTTCCTTTTGCAATACTACTTGTGGAAAAACTATATCTGTTGTTAATTGGCATAAAAAAAAGGAGAAAAGAGGAAGGATATAAGAATCTCCATTTCCTCTCCTGTGTTTTTGGGACCTCTGCCAAAGTATTTGGCATCTTGCCAACCTTCTGACTGCTAGTGATCTTGAGAAAAGAAAAGTGGGACTGATCTTGGCTGCCACTTTGTGGCTATTGAAATTATTGCAACGATGGAAGAGCTGAAGAGATTTTTTTTGGAAATAAAAGGATCGTTAACAACTTTACAAATATCCCAAGAGGTGATGTTGAGACAACAGGAAATCTTCTCAATTGTACAAAAAAAGTGCAAAAGAAATGCAGCAAGTATATGAAAAATTTGAAACTGTGGATAAAAAGAAACGAATTTGGCCACTAAAGGAAGGAATATTTTTTTTGAAGGATGGATGAATCCTGAATTAACTAAAATTGATTCTGAGGAAGAAGAAACAGTGAAGGTTGATTTGCAGCAAAAAACACAGCCATTGGGAATAAATACTGACCTACAACAAATGCTACAATCACTGAAGATAAAGCAAGAAATAGTGAAGATTGAAATACACACTTTGAAGTGGGTTGATTTTCAACAAATAACACCAAGCGAGATATATTAAAGATTGAAAGGAGCTGGACTCTTATAAGGAGTTAATTGTATGTGATTAAGTGAAGTGTAAGCTAGATGAAACTTTAATAAATTAGCTTAAAGAAAATTTGTTTAAAAGATATCATAGATAATTGTTGTCATCAAATAGATTAGATAAGATGTCCTTAAAGATGCTAAATGGATGTTAGACATGTGAACATAAATTGGGTTAAAAGTCTTTAGTTCTTTTTTAAGCTTGGAACTTTTCTTCTCTTTCACTTTCCTTTTTAGTGGATATTAGACTGGAATACTAGTAAGCAAAAATTGTATTTGATCGTATTTGCAACTATTATATTGAGGAGTTTATCTGTTTAATATTAGAAAAATGAAAAGATCTGGAATTGTGTAGAGTTGGTTAGATTGAAACTACTATCGAAGAAGAAAGACGATATTGACTTTTATCAAATTCGGAGAGTCTTTCTTTTAATATTGGTCAAGGAAAACGGGACTCTGTAAGAAATGGATGGACTGATCTTACCACAGAAGGAGAAAGAAGATAGTGACTTCTATCAAATTTGGAACCTTTTTTTTATTGGCTGGAGAAACAGGACTTGGTTTAGATCTAAAAATGTTTTTTAAGATTCCATAAATGGATCTGAATATGATTACAGAATGTTAAAAGATATGCGGTAAGGGGCTGACTCAGTAGTTCTGATGTTTGTGATGATCGATGTTTTTTGTACTGTTTTAAAATTTAATTAAAAAGTACTGCAAAAAAATAAATATATATAATTTTTCCCACCATTAATTTTTAAAATATCTGGCGATTAAACATGTCGTCGCGAGGATATACTGGAGCAGTGACAACCACTCTGGGTTCCCCACAAGAGGAAAAGGGCAGGATATACGGGCAATGCTATAATAGCAATGCAGAGGGTGCCAAAAATGTACACATGTGTTAAGAAAGTAAAAAACTGCATTAAAATTGTAATACTCAACATACACCAATAACAAAAGATGACTACAAGTCACTTTCGACTTCTGCAGTTACAAGAGGTGCTCAGAGTGGTTGCCATCAGATACCACTTCAAAATGGTCTTGCGCTGCCCGGTGATAACAGAGCTTCCGCCATTGACTTTGGCTGTCCTACCTGTCACACACACATTCGTTTGATTAATGCCATCTTCTGAGCGAGTGTCATACCACCCATTGCGGTCATAATTCAATTCAACTTCAAAAAATAATACAGAGATAACATCCCTTAAAATTTATTAATTTAACACTTTTATATGCCGTCCTCTATGCGTGGCATCTCAGGATGGCTTACAAATACTAAAGTCAAAAATGGAAAAACAATTAATACAGATATAAAACAATATTCAGCCAATACAAATAAATTCAATCAAGAGGGAGCGATTAAAACTATTAAAATACTAATTTTTAAAATAGCACTTAAATAAAAGGTATTAAAATTAAAAATGGGTATACATTTTGGGGCACCCCCAGTATATCATGAGTGCGTTGATGGCCAGGTCAGCCCAAGGAAGGGTGCCATTTTCTGGCCACACGGGGCATGTCTCTTCCCGTCTGGTCCCACTGCGAGCCCCGGCACCATTCCCATTTCCAGCGCTCGGAGCTTCTTCCCAGCAGCGGCCGCCTCGCCGCCGGGGCCTGCCGAACCCACCCGTGCTGTTTCTTCTCCCGTCCCCTCAGCTCTTCCTGGAGACCCTCCCTCGCCTCCTGCACATGTCCCGGCCCGCCGAGCTGGAACCCGAGCAGAGGGACAGGCTGCTGCGCCGGCGCAGCAGCTCCATCGGCTACATCGTCAAGGCCGAGGAGTACTTCAACGTCAAGTCCCGCAGCGACCTCATGTTCGAGAAGCAGTCGAAGAGGCACGGCCTGGCCAGCCGGGTCACGCCTGCACGTGAGGATTCCTCGGCGGGGGCCTGCGTGGTGGCGGGGCTCAGAGTTCTGGGCTCTGGGGCTGCCCTGGGGCGTTGGGTGGCTTGAGGCCCCTGCAGGTCCCTGCTCAGAGCTTTCCTCCCGCCGTCCTCTAGGGCCAGCCCCCCACGATGACGACGACGACGACACGCAGGAGCAGATCTACCGTGAGCTCAAGCCGGCGATCACAGGAGCCAACTTCATCGTCAAGCACATGCGGGACAAGAACGACTATGACGAGGTGCGCGTGTGAGGGCGCATGGAGGCAGCCTGGGCTCCACAGACGCCTCGCTGGAAGCTCAGCGATCGAGCCCATGGCATGCTTTTAAAGCGGGGTCCTCACACTTCCACCGGGGGCCAGTTGGAAGCCGCCAGTGCTGGGCATGGTGCCGGCCTTGCGCGGGGACCGGTGCTGGGGCAGGGCCGGCGCGTGTGGGCACACGCACTGAGGCAGGGGTGGGGCGCGTGGCACAGCAAGGCGAGCTGGGGGCGGGCACGCACCGCGAGGCAGGCGCATGAGGCCGTGGCTTGCTTGCTTGCTTGCTTGGAGATAGTTTTCTCCGAGCAAGCAAACCGCTGCCTCCCCGTGCGCGGAGCGAGGTGGGTGGCGGCGGGTGGGCGCATGGGTGCAAGTGCACATGTGCGGCGGGTCCAAATGGGCATGGCGGGCCAGATTCAGCCCCCGGGCTGTAGTTTGAGGACCCATTTTTTAAAGGGTTGTTTCTGCTTCAAGCAGTACAGCCGAGTCAACCTTCCCCAACCTGGTTGGGGGTTTATGGACACTGTAGTCCAACACTGGCAGGTAGGAGAAGGTCGATGCAGGTCATGTTAGAGCCTGGCCTTCAGGGTCTCCTGGGAGGAGGGCTTTCGGCAGCCCCATTTATCGCGTCAGCTGCGAAACACACAAGGGACGCCCCTCTCTTCCCGCAACGCTCTTCCAGCTTTACCGCTGACACTCCTGGTGTGTTAGGAAAACCACAACACTGTGAGCACTAACCCTGCTGCTCCTGATTTTAAATGACACGGATACATCTGGGCAGACTTCAAGAATCCCGCAGCCCTCGTCTCCTGCTGCTGCCTGGACGGTAATTTTCAGGGGGCCCGGACTGCAGGATCCACCCACCAGTGGCCTGTTAGCTGCGACCAGACGTCCGCCCCTCAGGCATGTGCGCAGCCGTCCCCGCCGGGACGCAGAAGATGCCGTTGCCGGTCCAAGCTCTTTTCCACGTGCAACACAGCTGAGCTGCGAAGCTTGCATCAAGTGGCAGGGGGCTACCGATGCTTTTCAGGACCACCGCTGCATCCCTCCATTCATTGCATGCAGGTTTCAATTGGATGGTTCTGCAGGCAGCTAGTTGTTGTTGTCGCCGTTGCTGCGGTTGTGTGCCACCCAGTTGCTTCCAGCTTAGGGTGACCCTGCACACGAAAGCCCTCCAACACGCCCTGTTCTTGGCAGCCCTGCTCAGCTCTTGCAAGTCCAAGGCTGTGGCTTCCTTGATGGGGTCCATCCGTCTCATCGCTGGTCTTCCTCCTCCTCCCCTTCGGCCTTCGACTTGCCCTGCCACGCTCGCCTCCTTCAGATTCTGGCCTTCTCACGACGTGTGCAGAGCAGGACAGCCTCAGCTTTGCAATTTTTGCTTCCAGGGAAAGCTCAGGCCCTGCTTGCTTGTCTTTCTGTCAGTCCAGGAGGAAACTTAGACACCTTGAAAGGGTGTCCCCCTCAAAGGAAAAACCTTACACATTGCCACGCCGATAATCTGACTGCCATGAGGGGTGGGCCGGAGAGCGCCTGCTTCCGTGTGGTGCGGCGGTCCCAAGAGCATGTCACTGCTGTAGCTGGAATGCTGCGGGTGGTTCTTCTGGCAGGGAGAGGGGAAGAGTCCTCTGCTGCGGCTTGTTCTTTGGCCAACGTGTTGGGCCGAGCTGGTTGTCCAGTTGCCCTATGGCTGGGGCGCAGGCTCACTGTGGTCCTACAGCAGAATGGATCTCCCTGGTGCTGTGCTTCTGGAGCAGCCACGCCGCTCCCTTCCTCCCCTGAAGAAAGAAAGGAGAGGAAAGGGAAGCCATGGGTCGCTTCCGGCTCCCCTCCAATGGCCGCAGCATTCCGGAATGGTCCGTTAATTCCTCTTCCCCTGTTGTGGAGAGGATTAGTCCAGAGGTTGAGCATGTCCAGGGGTTGTTGGGCAGCATCTCCCATCTTCCCTCACTATTGGCTATGTCAGTGCACACTGATGGGCATTGTAGTCCATCAGCATCCAGAGGGCTACATGTTCCTCACCAGCAGGTTAATGACCGGATTCGATGTTGTAACCTGGCCAGTTGCTTTCTTCTCTCCTCTGCAAGGACATCCTTTTCCCATTTCCAAATCTCTCTTGCCTCTTCTCTCCCCTCAGCTCTGGCGGGCCACGCGGACAGACCACAGCACACTCACGCATGTGCCCCATGTTGAGCAGGGCGGCCACAACCTGACACGCCTGCTCTCTGGGTGGGCTCTGCTCCGACTGCTAGGCTGAGCCAGGGACGGGGAAGGGTCAGCCGGGGGGACTGGGCAGCTGGTGCGCCTGGAGGGCAAGGCTGGGAGGTCTCCTGCCCGCCTCCAAGCCTGTGATTTCAATGCACCTTCGCTTGCAGGAAAAGGAAAACTGGAACCGCATCGCCCGCACGGTGGACCGCCTCTGCCTTTTCCTGGTCACTCCGATCCTGAGCCTTGGCACCTTCTGGATCTTCTTGATGGGTGCCTACAACCACCCGCCACCCCTTCCCTTCGAGGGGGACCCTTTTGACTACGACGAGCACAAAAAGTGCTTCCTGTAAGAGCAGAGCATCTTTGCGCCTGGATTTTGAGTGCCAGGACTTGACTCGTGACCCCCCATCACGCATCCGTGCCTGCGGAATGGATCTGGAAATGGTGCTTTCTCCCCTCAACCCTGACTCCTCATAATTATCCGGAGTATTGCAACCTCTTCGGTCCCATCTGCTTTTCTGCCTTACTCTCAACATCGTAATAAACATATTACGATAAAAAACAAACCGTATTCCCCAACCCGTGACGCCTGTGTTATCGGATCGATGGAATAACATATGGAAGCAGGAGGCAAAATTACTTTTCAAGGAACATTGAAGAGGCAGGGCGAAAAGAGATATAGCATGACGTATTGCATCTGTTCTGTAGCTGTAATGTCAGGCTGGTCTGCAAACACCAGTAGCACATTCTGCCTCGGTTTATTTATTTATCTTTCTGTCCATCCAAACACAGGGAATGTATGAGTTAGGCCATGTTTTCAACATTTACTTTGAACTGTGTAAGAGAGAGCGTGCTGGTTGGTCCCCAGAGCAGTTTTCCAGTAATGAAAAAGAGCTTGTGATTTTTAAAAACAAGATGAACATGATATGCTGTGGTTTACTTAACAAATGCATTAAAATGGACAGACTTGCTGCATCTCACCCGACTAATTTCTTCTGGTATAAATATTTCTGGCCACTGTCCCCTTCATCAAACACATAAAATATATTACATATAACTGGGTGAAGGGGACAGCATCCACCAAAGTGCATGCCAGAAATCTTTTAGGTGCCACAAGAATCTTGTCTGTTTTTGCTGCACAAAATAAACACGGCCCTCCCTTGGGAAAGATTAAAGTCTTAATGCAAGATGTTCCTCAGCTGCTCTCTGAAGAACCAAAACACATCAAGTCATCCTGATCTGGGCCCTTTGAATCACATCAAAGCTGCTGACGATGTCATGAGCTAGAAGATTTTTCCTTAAGGATGCTAATATTTCTGCTTTATTGTTACTGTAATGAATAGAAGTCATGAGCTTGACTGGACTCCAGGGGATGGTGGAGGACAGGAAGGCCTGGAGGAATGTTGTCCATGGGGTCTCGATGAGTCGGACACGAACAAGAACAATAAATAGAAGTAGTGGTGGATGAAGGGTGTAATCCTAAAGCCCTTGCCCTAAATTCAGGACAGCAATGACCTTTCTTGCGATGGGCCGCATTCCAGGCTTTGCTTCTAGAAGGCCAGTTTTGGCCATCACAATGAAGTGCCTTACAGTGGAAGAGAGGGAGCTGGACCGGATGCCACTTGGATATGGGGTGACCCACTGGTCCCTCCCCTCTCCGGCACACCCCTTTTCCTGCTCTCCTTTCTGCACCACCTGCAAGGGGGCAGGATGGGACGGGGGCTCTGCATTTGGAATCCCAGCTCTGAGGTCTCAGGACTCCAAACTGGGACTCCAAATAACCCAGTGGCTAACCTCCAGACCATGTTGAGAGTCTACAGGATTGTGCCTGGATTGCACATCCTTTCAGGATCCAGAAGAAGCCTCTGTGCAAGGCTTTAAACATGCACACATCCGCACACACGTCACTTAAAGCCTGTGCTTTTGGTCGAGGCAGACGATCCTCCCACAAGAGGAAGCGGGACAGAGAATGCAGGGCTGACGGGCGTGTCATCACTTAGCTTCCCAGGATGCTCATGCACAGCAAATGTCGGACACACAACAGGTGGCCCAACCTGCTGTGATCGTTTTAAAATGCTGCTTCTGGCATTGCACTCAAACCATCAACTTTGGTCACTGGAATATCGAAACAAAACTTTCCGTGATGACATCTTCTTGCATTCTGAGGTGGCATCCCAGAATTCAGTACTCTGAGAATACAGAAATGTTCCTTTCGATTGGCCACAGGCGACCGCGTGGGTGTCCAGAGCAGCCTGGCTTAGCCCAGCTCGCAGGATGTTGTGCCGTGTGAACTCGGACTGCATTGCACCACTTGACACAGTGCCTGGTGTCAGGATACGTCTCGGGGTTCATGGCAAGGAGTATGTGAGAGGTGCCCGGTGCTTCCGCTTCTGGTTGCTCCTCTACAACACACACACACTCTGACCAACATGCAGAGAATCTGGCCCAGTGGCGATCCCAATCTGACCTCCTGGGACCCCCCAGCCAAAAAATCCTTCGTTGGTTTCCTGGCTTTTGTGCCATTTCCCCCATTTCAAAGCTAAAATGGCTTTCCGAAGTCTCACTTATTGAAAGAGGGAGCTTTAAGCTTAGGTACTTGGAGGGTCCCAATTTGCTTTTGCCCAGAGCTAACCCCAGAGGGTTTTCTGAAATGGAATGCAGCCCTCGGGATACAAGAAGTGCGTCGCTGGGGTGTCGCTGCCTGTTAGCATCTCTTCCGGGGGGACCACTGCCAGCAGCACCTTGATGGGCAGGCCAAGTCCGTCCCACCAGCTGCATGTGCCCAGGAAGGGCTGGTCTGGGGATCACTGAGGAATCTCTTTTGGGGCTGGAGATCTATCAGATTCCTGCGCTCAGCTCCCTGGATTGCTTTGCAATGGCTCTGGGCTGACTTCCTGCTAGCACACCAAGTATCCATGCAGAAAGTGCCTGGTGTTGGGACCTGCACCGCCGTTGCACAAGCAGCATCTTTTTCCACGCATGTGACGCGGATGAAGTTTGCCGGCCGTGCAACCGGAACTCTGCTGGTGTTTGTGGGCTTCTTCTCAGCCCAGCTCACTTTATAGCATGTGCAGCAAAGAGGAGTGGATTCGGTGGAGCTTTGTCCCAGGGCTTGGCTGGTCCAGCTGGACGTGTGTGCTGGATATCCATGTTCCCTTATAGGGGTATTTCCATTTTTCCCTCCCTGCACTTCTCAGGTTTATCCCCCCCCAGGAAAGGCCTTGCGGTTGCAGTAGTGTGGCAGCCTGCCAAAACAAACTCTAGGCTGAGGCTTATTTTTAACCCCCAGGCCCAGCTGTTGTGCCGGAGAAGGAGGTCGGGGGTCAGGAGTCAAGCGAAGGAGACAAGGGCTAACCGGAAGGGGCTTTCTTGGGGGACAGGCCCATTTCAGGAGACAGCTGATGCCTGACCCGGCCGGGAATGCAAACTTCAGATAAGAGGCCAGCTGTAGCTTTCCGGCTTCTCTCTGGATGGCTCTTCCCGAGGTGTGGGAGGCATTCGGCAAACCTATTGGCAGCCCTGGCCCAAAGGGGCAAGCACCATTCGATGCACGGAGAAGGAGAAGGCAAAGGAAGAGGCGATCTTTCCACAGCTGCACCTGAACGATCAAGTGCCCCAGAAACACAATTCATGAATCCACTTGTTGGGAAAATGCAGATAAATCCTGGCAGAAAAAAAGGTTGCTTATATGTGCCTTTGTGTTATAAAAATACCTGCACCCCTTTCTCAGAAAGCACCCGAATTCCAAGCCAGGTTATGGTTTATCATTTGCTGTTGCTTTAAGCAGTTGGAGCTCATAGCCTGCTATGAGAAGCTGCCAGGGCTATTCTTGGTGCTGATCAGTAAGAGCTGATCAGGCTGCCAGGCTAACAGCATTGCAGTCCCCCTCATTTGCATGCCAAGACCCACAATAATCCCTGTGCCTCAGTGATTGTTATGTTAATCTCCTGTTATCAATGCCATTGTACTGAGCCCCCTCTGCAGGCCCCTCACCTTCTTCTGACTGTGCTCCCCTTATTTCTTCATCAACTGCCCAGCTGCTGGGCCCACGTGACTCAGAATTTATAAAACACTCTGTGCATGTTCTAAAAGCTTGTCGTAGGCAGTGAGAACCTGGTGGCATGCTGTTGTGACTGCAGGGGTTCTGAGTGATCTTCAATAAGCTGCTGAGGTTCAAGGCAAAAGGGGCCTTTCCTGGCTGAACCCGGGTATCTTGTCTCGTGGCTGCCACTGCGGTGCCCCGACAGTCGCTTCGCACAATCCCGGCACTCACAGAGGCTTAACTAAGTGGCCCGTTGGCCGCTATTGTGACCATCTGCAGCGTGGGGCGCAGTGCAAACCAGGGCACTCAGGAGAGGGCTCGCATCCGTTTGCGGTGCAAAGCTCTGCATGGCCAGACAGGAAAAAGCCCTGCCCTCAGGGGCCGGATCCAGCCCATGGGACGCGCCTGGCCTGCCCCTGGCAGTGATCCCACAGGAGGAGATGTGGGCGGAGTGCCCCATCGCTGCCGAAAGAACCCGTACGCGGCCGTGAGCAGCGAAGGGCAAGCGCACATGCAGTGCCTTGTGTGGAACCGGCCGTGCTGCCTCCAGGGCTGGGTGGAGGACCCGGCTTCCTCGAGAGGAGGGCTCCATCCAGCCATGACTGGATCCGCCACTCACTTCCCACCCCACAGCTCACCCCATCTCAAGTTCTCCTGCGACTCTCTCAGTGGGGTAGTTTTGAGGGTGAGCTGTCTTGGGAAGGGGCGGGGTGCCCACTTCTCCCGCCGCAGCTGATCCTCCTTAAGCCGGGCTCAACTCCTAGTTTTAACATTATATTTTAAGCTGGGCCTACGTCATGCGCTGCGCGTCAGGCATAGTTCACCATGGCACATTGTCAGGAATGCCTGTGAAAATACAAATAGCGGGTTTTAGTATGTCAGTCTGGTTCTCTCTCAAACATCCAGGATCAGGAGTCAGGTTTCTAAGCCAAAGAGCCTGCTCCACCCCCCCCCCCCGCACTGCCTGTGACAGGGTGGATTTGATCTGGGCATGAAATGCCGAAATGCCATTGTAAAAAAAAAAAGAGGAGAAGGCGTAGGCAGCCATTCACGGCTCTCATCGCTTGACCCCAGGACCAGGGTGCCCATGTGAAAAGGTCTTCTAATGGGAGTCAGCCGAGCGAAGAACTGGCTGCCAGGGGCTGGATAAGGTCATTCTCTCTGGCTACAGGTTTCTCCCCTCGGTCCCATTATCTGGATGCAGCCGCAAGGCACAGACTGAGGGGAACCGAGGCAGGAAGGCTGCGGGGAAATGGGACCAGCCCAAGGAACATCTCTGCCTCCTCTCCCTTTGCTGGCCATTTGGCATTGTCAGAATCCTGGAATCTCAATTTGAGAAGAGGGAATAAAACAGGTTCGTGGGGAAGATCAAGCATCCAGACCATCTGTGGCTTTATTGCTTTACCCCAAGGTTCCCGCAGTAGACTCTCACGACAATGCATGCATTACCGGGCAGGCAGCGGTGAACTCTGCTGCAAAGCTTCAGTACCATTGCAGGGCATTTATAGGTACACAGGTACAGGGCCATTGATGACAGGATGCAGAGATTACAACAAGATTCTGAGGTCATCACATACAGAACCAATAAAGGAATGTCAGCCAATCACACAGTAACAATGAGATTACAATATTTCTATTTGCCTGTATTGACACTTTAATTGAGTAACTGGAACCCATCTCCAGGTCTGCTCAGACATGCAAATTCAAGCTACTGAGAAACTATTTATGAACTCAGACCCTTATCTAGGCTCTACAAACATTCTGAGTGACCAGGGCACATGGAACCTTGGGGCTAGGAAGACACTTCCTTGTAAAACTGAATTCCAACAATGATTATTTAATTAATCATTTATGAATAATTGTTTAATGATTAAACAATTATTTAATCATTGTGAAGGTATACAATGTAAATTTGGACTAAATGCCCTGTGTACTGTAGCTTACAGCTAAAGGTGAGAGAAAGGAGCGGGGGATGAATGCCATTTGAAACAGTGACAGCTTGGTTTTGAGAAGGAAGACAGGATTTGATCCCACAATGCAAAGGCACACAGAAGCAATGCTTTTCAGACAGGATTGATCCAAATTTTCCCAACAGCATCGACCCTTCCGAACGAGACAACCATTTCCTGAGAATTGCGTGGGAGTGTTGCCACTTCCTTTGTTCCTATAAATGGCGACAGCTTTGTTGGCCGAGTGATGCAGCAGCCTGCCCACGGGGATGCGCCTGGCCCTTTCCCGACACCTGCCTGTCCCACGACCGGTCCTGTGGGGCAGCCAGCCTGCAGAGCGGCCTGGCATGGCTTGTGTGCCCGAGAGCTTGGCACGGCCGGCCCCGCCCCGGCCCCATCCCCCTATTGTTTTTCCAAAGGCAACTGGGAAAGCAGCTGACAATGTAGTGCTCTGACAGCTGGGCCGAAAGTGCCTGGGAAGGAGGGAGGTGGGAGAGGGGGTCCGCTCAAAATAGCCCTCTGGGCCCTCCCGTCTCCACACGCAGCCGCTGCGGCTCCGGGACAAGGAGCGCCCGATCCGGCAGGATGGGCTGGCCGAGCCTGCTCCTGGCCTGCAGCTTCCTCACAGGTAAGCAGAGCCATGCCGGGGGAACGCCGGTCCATGAGCCTGGAGGCTTTGGTGGGTGGAGAGGGGCTGCTTGCAAGGAAGATGACGCTGAACCAAATCTGGGGGCTACTGCTAGGCCTGGAATGTGGCATTCCAGGGACCCCCAAAGCCCAGCAGCCCCAGAATGACAGCCCAAAGAAAGATCAATGCAGCGGGGGCAGGGTGGGGGAAGCACTCCGGCACCTTGCCGGCCTGGACCGGTGGGGCCCATCGGGGATGCTGCAGCAGCAAGCCTTCCTCCTCTTTCCAAAATCATGCACCAATTAGAGGCAGCCGATGAGGCAGGCATCTGTGGAGATTCTCAGAGCCTCCTTGCCAATGGCCAGGATGAATACTTGGACCCGAGGGGAAGGCTGAGTCCACCACCGACGACAAAATTGCAGACCATGTACAGACATTTTTATAACCTTCCAATCACATACGGAGTATTAGGCTTCCAGATAAAGTTAGCATAATAGTATCCTGATGTCCCTCATACAAAACAATGCTCTAAACTGATCAGAAGTTCCCGTGACAATAGAATAGAAAATTTCCCTGACTGAGCCTTATTGACAAGTCAGTTCATTGAATTCCTGACAGTTTGGATCAGCCCCTGTGTCTGCTTAGACATGCAAATGTTTCTGATTGAGGAACCATTCAGGAAAACTGGTTTGAGAACTACACTGTGCAGGCGGGACTAGATGATTAAAGGGGTCATCTAGTCATTCAGGAACAAAGGGACACTTTGCCTCAGCTCTTTGCAGCTGATGGGTACATCACTGATACTGTTAGCCTCCATCAGCTTCTCGGTCCAGCTAAGAATTCCATCTTCTTAAGGCACAACAGATGGGTTGTCAGTGTTGGGAAAATCCAGATAAATCCTGGTAGAAAAAGGTTGCTGATATGTGCCTTTGTGTTATAAAATTACACAAATTACACAAAATTTGTATTATAAAATTGGAACGGCTCTTCACCGCTTTCTCAGAAAGTACCCGAATTCCAAGACAGGCTTCTGTTTAATGATATTTTCAAGCTGTTCCTGTAAGAGATGGCTACTACCTTTGGACAAAAAGCCTTTGCAGAATGAGGCTCCCAAGTCTATTCTTGTGCTAACACCAAACAAAACTGATAAGATGGAAAGACAAGTTTTCCTAGCAGTATTGCAATCCCCCTCATTTGCATGCCAAGACCCACAATAATCCCTGTGCCTCGGGGATCGTTATGTTAATCTCCTGTAATCAATGCCATTGCACTGAGCCCCCTCTGCAGACCCCTCACCTTCTTCTGACTGCGCTCCCCTTATTTCTTCATCAACTGCCCAGCTGCTGGGCCCATGTGACTCAGAATCTAGAAAACACTCTGTGTATGTTCTAAAAGCTTGTAGTTGGTTTGGAGACCACTACCCGGTAGCACACTGTCATAAGTAACTGCAGGGGGGCTGGGTAATCTCACCAGTAAAAACACTGGGGTTCAAAATGATCCAGTCTTCTCTGTGGGTCCTCATTCTCACCATCGGTAAAGAGACCCTGACGTTAACAACAATCCGGTTTTGAGCAGCTGGTCACATCATTACCTTTATCTCAGCTGAAAAAAGAGACAAATTTGCACTAGGAAACACCTGCTCAAGGTATAAAACAGGCATTTACCGCATCTTTCCCCGCTTTTGTTCTTGCAGCACAATGTTAACTTTAGGAGTGGCTGTCACAGAAATAATCCCAGATCCTTTCCAGGAGAGACATCTGCGAGCCGCCCCCCTGGCACAGGGAATATTAGGGGAGTCCTGGCATGGTCTCCTTCTGTGGGAGACAACTTCTCTTAAGGAGGAAAGAGGAGAAGTGGAGTAATGCCTTTTGATCATTGATGCTGGAAGCTCTCTGTCCAGAAGCACCCACATGTCATTTATAGACCACTTTTAAACACTGAGAGAGTGTCACGTATGTTCTAACAGCAACGTGAAGCAAGGATATTGTTGTTGTGATCATTCCATCACATTGATATTCCACCTTTCTTCCTTTGGCAAGGAACCCTGTTTTTTTGCAAGCCTCGCCTTCTATCCATTTTACTCTCACAACAGCAACCCTGTGGGGAAGGTCAGGCTGACTGGCCCAAAGCCACCAGTGATCTCCATGGCCAAATGGGGACCTGAACCCAAATCTCCTGGGTCGCAGCTGAGCACTTGAACCCACTACCAGGCTGGCTCTCACTCCGCACTGGTTTTGTGGCTTTGAACCAGCACCAGACTGGACAGCCTATTAAAGAGACAACACCTTCAGACCAAAGTCGTTGACCTGTGAGATGCTGTCCACCGGTCCTGTCCTGGCCAAACCCAGGTTTGGTGTAGCACTCGGGTCGCCTGGCATTATGGCCGGCGCTCCCCAGTAAGTAACCTCATTTAGCCTCGTGAAGCTAATTCGCCAGCTCTTCTCCGCTGCACATCCCTTTGAGGTTTTATTGATAATGTAAGAGATTTAAAAAAGGATCGTTAGTAGGGTAACGATTCGTGGGCTAGATGGGGATGGATCGCAGGCAGTGGGGAATTTTTTCTCAGTTGGTTAGCATTTGCGGCACGCCTGATGTCGGCCTAATTAAATTTTCATTACAGCCCCAACAGGGCCCAGAGAAGAGCGTGATGCCAGGGATGGTGGCTTTTTAATTTAGCAGGTGGTGATGGCAGCGATAAACATGGCAGAAGTGTAGTTTCTCTCCCTCTCTCTTAATACGAAGGATCGGGGTCCTCTGACAGGAGGGGCAGCAGTAGATTTGACAGCCCAAAGGAAATATTTCTTCACACCGGGCACAATAAATACCTGGCACATGTTATCTGCTTTCCTTCTTTCCATTTGTGTCTGGGAGGGCCCTGTTCTTGGTGCAGAGAGAGACTCTGAGGTCACTGTTGCCTAGTGGTTAAAGCCCTGCACTGGGAGTTGGGAAATCCAGGTTCTTGGCTATGAAGTTCACTGGGAAAGGACTCTCAGCCTAACCAACCTCACAGGGTTGTTGTGAGTATAAGACTGTTCTGCCTTTGCTGGCCCTCCATACCTGTTTTTTTGTCTGGGTTGAGCTATTAATTCTAAGACCCTTGAGGCAGAGCCATCTCCTATCATGCTTTGCAAGCTTTACTGCATTCAGATATTATTATTATTATTATTATTATTATTATTATTATTATTATTATTATTATTGAATAGGCCCATCAGTCAATATTAGCTATGATGGCCTATGGAACAACCGTATAAAGGGAAGGCATACCTCCAAGTCCTGACGCTTAGGACCAGAAAAGAGGATGATGCTTTTGCCCCGTCTCTTGTATGAGGGCCTACCAGGGCGCCCACTCATGCAAAGAGGCTAGCGGACTTTGCTTCTTCTGTCCTGCACAGTATCAAGAAGCCACCGTTCAGGACGGTCCCATACATTTGCAATCATTAGGGATGGGTGACATGCTGAAAAGACTCAGGGACCGGCCCATAGGACACAAAGAATTTAGTTATGCAAATTTAGAAATAATTACTTGGATTCAGCTCAATTTCACAAAGGACTCAAGTGGCCCATTAATTTATCCCCCAAATCAGCTCGATTTAAGCAAATTTTCAATTCAGTTGCAGTCTGACGCAGATCATCGCCAACAAATGGGAAAATATTCTTTTTCCAAAGCTTTCCAAATGGCCTTGCTCCTCTTTCCATCAATCGACAAATGGCACGTACAAGTCCAGTTCTTGCAGGCTTGGCCCCTACATGCTCCCTGAAATCCGTGTGGGTTCGGCTGCTCCCATCCCCCAGGACTGCCGCCCCACAACTTCTGGCTGCTTCTCTTTCCAGCAGTCCTCAGCCGGAACCAGGAGGAGAAGCTCCTCAACACCTTGATGGCCAACTACAACCGCAATTTCCGCCCAGCCTTGGCCAAAGGAGACATCGTGGACATTTCGGTCAAGCTGACCCTCACCAACCTCATCTCGCTGGTAGGCGCTCCCTCCCCTTCCCAGACTCCACCGTCCTCTGCCCATCATCCTGGTGTTTGCTAACCCAGCCCCACCTCCCAAACGGCCCAGCCAACTTTCCACGGAACCCTGACCATTGTGACATACGAGGGGGGACCCAAAAACAACCCCAGGGATTTATTTATAGAAAAGCATGAATTTATTTTTACATGTCCAAACTTCAGTTACCTGCAAAGTACTCTCCGTTCGATGCAATACACCTGTCGAGATTTTTTTCCACTGCTCAAAACAGGTTTTGAACTCGTCGATTTTGGTGCCCTTTAGTGCTTCCGCTGTTTCTTGTTTCTCCTTTTCCACACTGGCAAAACATGGCCCCTTCCAGCTCTACTGTTCTATAATTCTGTGTCTCTCTGTTCTTGAGCAGCAACTGTCTTTTGTCTCTTTCCAGAATGAGCGGGATGAGACACTCACAACCAACGTCTGGGTAGAACTGGTAAGACGACAGAGCAAACCTCACCATGGCGTGCTTAATTCCTAGCAGGGGATGGACCAGATGGTCTTATGATCCCTTTCAGCTCTAGGATGTTACGATGCTATGATTGCTTCCTTGTTATCTTTGGGGCTTCCAGCGTGGTACTTCCAGCCTCCACTGTGCCTGCTTCCCCCGCTTCTCATTTGATTTCTTTAAACAAAACTAAATTGAGAGATTTCTGTGCTGCAAAGCAAAAGCTTACTTTCCAGCACCATTGTCAGAAAATCCCGGAATCTCAATTTGTGAGGAGGAAATAAAACTCAGGTTCGTGGGAAAGATCAAGCATCCAGACCATCTTGGCTTTATTGTTTGGCCCAGGTTCCCATGGTAGACTCACGATAATGCATTACCGTGCAGGCAGAGGTGAACTCGCTGCCAAGCTTCAATACAACTACAGGGTATTTATAGGTACACAGGTACAGGGCAATTGATGACAGAATGCAGACATTACAATAAGATTCTGAGGTCATCACATACAGAACAGATAAAGGAATGTCAGTCAATCATACAGAGGCAATGAGATTACAATATTTCTAATTGCAGTGTATTGATGCTTTAGTCCAGTAGCTTGAACCCATCTCCAGGTCTGCTTAGACATGTAAATTCAAGCTACTGAGAAATTATTCATGAACTCATACGCTTATCTAGACTCAGACCCTAAGTAATGCACCATTCTGAATGACCAGGGCACATGAAGCCCTCTGGGCTAGGAAGATACTTCCTTGTAAACTGTGAATTCCAATGCCAATTTAAACAGTGACTTAGCTTGGTTTGAGATGGAGGGTTGATTCCACAATGCAAAAGCACACAGAAGCAATGTTTTTCTGACAAAATGTTTTTCTGACAAAATATCCAAATTTTCCCAACACCATCTATATTTGGGTTCAAAAGTGTGGCTTAGTGCTTCGGAGCTCAGATTTCCCTCTGCCTTATCCTTCAGTTCTTGCGCAAGTAACTTTTCTTTTCACCTCTCCCATTTGCCTTCCTGCTCCCAGACAGGTTGTTTCCATCTGAGAGAATAATCCAGCAAGTTAGCCTTCAGGGACTATCATGGCTCAGACATGTTCACCAGCATTGGCTTTGGTGGAGATTTTCAGTCCTGAAGGCTAGCAACTTGCTTCTCTTTACTTTCAGTTGTTGCAGTTGTTGCATCTTAACAAAAAGGGAAAAGGCATTGGCCAAAGAATTTAATGATAAATGGAAAACTTACTATACATATTTAACTAAATAATTCAGAGAAAAAAAATAGAATTTATGTAAGGATAACCTAAGCTGATACATTTACTACTCAGCTATATATGGAAGGGCAGTTAAAAATTAATGGAAAACCTATTAAATTTCATTTATTTAGTAACTGAGAGTGTTGCTATTAAGTATTATGTATACAATGATCAAATTAATGCAATTGCTTTATGAATTTAACTTTTAATTATGATATTGTTTTATCTGGGAAAAATAATTATTAATTGCTGGTGGGTTTGTGGATATGCTATAGGGTGAATTATTTATTTGTTAACTGTTTATAACAACCAAGTTTTATTAAGTCAAAATTGTTACAAAATGATAGAAGTAATGATAATTTTTGACTTTTTGTGCAATTTCATGCACTTAGCACTACATGTAATTTTTGTGTAAGGTTCCTTGGTATCTTTTTCAAGATACTTTTTTGTTTTTGTTTTTCCTTTAACCTATAAAAATAATTTAAAGAAAAAGAAAAAGAGAAGGCAAAAAGCATCCAGGGAATTTCAAATTAGCCTAACAAAGCAGATTCTGAGTTTGGAGGCGGGCAGTTCCTGTGAGTGAGTTTTTGTGCCCAGCTCCAAAGGACTCAGCGGATGGGTTGCTGAGGAGATTCAAGGATGCCACATATCAAATTGTGAGCCTTCCTCACGGATCATCCCCTTCCTTGTTGCCAGAAATGGTACGATTACCGCCTGAGGTGGGACCCCGAAGACTACGGCAACATCCAGTGTTTGCGGGTCCCCTCCACCATGGTGTGGTTGCCGGACATCGTCCTGGAGAACAAGTCAGTATCTTCCCAGAGGGCCCCTCCTTTTACTCCTCACCGGGCAGTTGGGGGTAGGTGAATCTGGGTTGCCCCAGGAGAAGACGTGACCCGCGCTGTCTCCTTCTGGTTGGATCATGTGTGGATCTTGGTAGGATTCACTCTTGGCATCTCCCATGCTATTTCCCTTTTGTGCTGTGGAGCCATTGCTGTTTGGATGCACACAAATTCATATAAACTCTCTCCCTCTCTCCCTCTCCTTCTCTGTCACGTGCATGGTTGTTGTTAGGCGCGAAGTCATGTCCGACCCATCAAGGCCCCATGGGCAACATTCCTCCAGGCCTTCCTGCCCTCCACCATCCCCAGAGCCCACTCAAGCTCACACCGACTGCTTCAGTGACTCCATCCAGCCACCTCATCCTCTGCCATCCCCTTCTTCTCTTGCCATCTATTGTTCCAAGCATTGGACTCTTCTCCAGGGAGTCCTTCCTTCTCATTAGGTGGCTAAAGTATTTGAGCTTCATCTTCAATATCTGGCCTTCTAGAGAGCAGTCAGGGTTGATCTCCTCTAGGACTGACTGGTTTGATCATCTTGCGGTCCAAGGGACTTGCAGGAGTCTCCTCCAGCACCACAATTCAAAGACCACAGTTCTTCGGCACTCAGCCTTCCTTATGGTCCAGCTTTCACAGCCATACATTGCAACTGGGAAAACCATAGCCTTGACTATATGCACTTTTGTTGGCAGGCTGATGTCTCTGCTTTTTAGTATGCTCTCTAGATTTGCCATAGCTTTCCTCCCCAGGAGCAAGCGCCTTGTAATTTCTTGGCTGCAGTCCCCGTGTGTGGTGATCTTGGAGCCCAGGAAAATAAAATCTGTCACTACCTCCATTTCTTCCCCATCTATTTCCCAGGAAGTAAGAGGACCGGATACCATGATCTTAGTTTTCTTAATGTTGAGTTTCAAGCCAACTTTTGCGCTCTCCTCCTTCACCCACATCAAGAGGCTCTTTAGTTCCTCTTCACTTTCTGCCATGGGAGTGGTATCATCTGCATATCTGAGGTTGTTGATATTTCTCCCAGCAATCTGAATTCCAAGTGGTGATTCATCCAGCCCCGCCTTTCTCATGATGTGCTCTGCATATAAGTTAAATAGGCAAGGCTGTATACTGTCGCCCTGCCTATTTAACTTATATGCAG